GGGTCTGGGCCTCAGGAAGGAGCCCCCAGATGGTACAAGGGGAAGGGCTGTGAGTGGCTGGTGGAATGGAAACCAGCCCTCACCTCTCAGGTACAGCAGGAGCAGCTTCTGGTGGGGGGGGGGGCTGTCCTGGACGAGCTCTGCTCTCACCATTTGGTCCTCAGAATATGCTCTGCAGGTGTCTGGGCGTGGCTACTCCTCCGGGGCTGGGCCTCCAGATGGGTGGCGGGAGCTGTCCACCACTCTGCATCTCTCACCCCTTGCTAAGCACCCAAGGATCTTTATAGGGAGCGTTGAATATCCCTGTGGGTTCTACCCCCCCACCACTGACGTTCCAAGGTTTTCAAGCCAGGATGAACATAAGCCTCCCAAGAGCATAAGCACAATGTGGGACAGGGGCACATGCCACTAACACAGAGCTCTGGGGCTCTGAGGGAGGCCCCTTGAGTAAGGAATCGCAAAGCAGGTTTCACAGTTTTATCAACTAGATACTTCCCGACACCCCCGAGCCTGGCCAGCGCCCACCACGGGCCAGTCATCTCCAACCTGGGCTGCCAAAGGTGCCCACTGACCAACCTGCTAGAGGCAGGAGAGGTGGTGAAAGCCAAGGGGCACTGGCCACAGGAGATGCTGTTGCAGCCTCTGCCAGGCATGTCTCAGGTTCTGTCCTGAGCACCATCCAGAACAGGTCTGTATGGAGGGAGGCACAGACTGCAGTCATTTAAAAAAAAAAAAAAAAAAAAGGTAGTTCCAAGGGCAGAACTTTTGCTTTCCAACTGCAAAACACGACGTTAGTGTGCCAGTCTCTCCCAGAGCTCTCCGCTTCAGAAGCCAAGTGTGACTTCAAAGTGCCTTTAAGTGAGCCAAAGCAAGTGCCTTCGCGGCTGGGAAGGCACCCGAGGGTGGTCTGGGAGCCGAAGGTAACCGCCAGGGCCTCTCTCTCTGTTTCAGAGGCCCCCTCCCCCAGGAAGCTCCGCAATGACTTGCCAGGTATCCTGCCCTCACCTCCGCGCACGTGTGTGGCACTTGGCTTCCATTTCCTTTCTGCCCAGCGCGCTCTCCCTGCCCTCCTTTGCCCCTTCTTGGCCCTTGCCAATTTCCTTGAGATTCCTGCAAAACCAGAAGGCTGGGGGAGCTTAGGTCCAAACTGCCCTTCACCTGAGGGAAAGCTGACACAAGGCCCCTCCTCTCCCGATACTTTTTAACCCCCCACTGCCGCTTGGGCACGGGACATGGCAGTGAGCGCACCCTCGCCCCTGCGTGCGGACGAGGCTGGAGGCTGTGTATGGTGCTTGGGTCATTCTTACCCGACAGAGAGGGCGTCCGTCACCATTTGGAAGCCTGGCTGTGCTGTCCTCCCCCACCCGGCTGGGTGTGTTCTGGAGAACAGCTTCTTTCCGTCTGCTTGGGGTCACAGGTTGGAATTGACACAGTACAGGGTCACGGTAACTGCCTTCCAGCCCTGTGCCCCGCTGAGCAGCTTTCACAAGCGTGCCTGCAGAACACAGGAGCTCTCACCCCACGCCTTACGAGTATTGGGGCTGTGACACTTAGCCAGACCCAGCTGCTGCCTGCACTCTCATGCACAAGGCTGGACGCTGGCCACTGTAGAGCCTCGTCCAGAGGCCTCCTGGGCACATACCCATGACCGGGGACTGGACACCCAAGATCGAAGTGCACAGGCCCTTCACAGACAGTTACAAGGCCCTGACTTCCCTGGGACACTAACCTTTTCCTTCCGTGAAGTTAGGCAGCTGGGGCTGGTCTAACACTTGTCCTTCCAGAGAGGGCCGAGGAAACCCTGGCTTGGGGCCATCTTCTCTTTTGGGGGATCTCGGCTTTGCTGTCGCTACCCAAATACTTAAAGCTGGATGAGGTCTTGGCAGGAGCTTTAGGCCTCTAGGACACAGCATTCAAGCAGCACTCCTGCCAGCTCGCTGGCACCTTAGGACAAGTGGAACACAAGGGATGGCTGGAGCGTGGGGCCCGAGTTCCTGGGCCTCCTCTTGAGGCAGCAGGTGCTATTCTCCCGTGCAGACTCCTGTTGGGTCAGAAGTGCCTGGGCTAAGCTGAGTCCAGAACAGTCCAAATTCTCCAGGGTCACACCCTTAAGACGGGCTTGGAGGGGTTGCTTACTTCCTGTAACAGATACAGCCGGTGTCAACCTTTGCCACCTAAGCTGATCAGACAGGCTCTTGGGGTGGGTATTTAAGCAGTAATTCTTCATTTTCCTTCTAAGCACAATTTGCTTCTTAGATCAAGGGTGCACATTTCTCAGCTACCTTGTTCCAGTTAGCAAACACACCCTTGTGCGGAAAGCAGACTGGAGCACTGGGGTGTAGGGGCTGTTCCAGCCCAGGCCAGACCCCCAGGATTGCTGCAGAGAGGGTGGGCAGTGCGGCACACTCCTCTGACCCAATTTCTTGCACTAGTAAAGAAAAAGACTTGCCCAGGTCACTTCTAGAGAGACAGTGATGGAGTTCTCCTAAGGGAGCTGGGGGCCTAGACCTTCCCTCTGAAGCTGGCCTTGGGCCTTAGCTGGGAGTGGCTGCAACTTTAAGTATTTATTCCCGATCACTGCACCTTGGGAAATGCCATCTAGCCCAGGCCTGTCCCCCTCCGAGATCCCAAAGGCTCAAGCTGGGATTCCCCTTGTCAGTGATCAGGAACCTCTGGGCCTTGCTTACGCCTGTGGTCTTACCTGTCTGATTGTTCCTTTTGACTGAAGACTCAGTGCCTAGAGGAAGAGCGCCTGGCCTGTGTGTGGTGAGCAGGTGGTTTCTGGTACCAAGTCTGCTGTCTTCTTTGACATTTTAAATGAGTGGAGAACTGTCCTCTGATTCAGGTCACACAAGGTCCTAAGGCTGAAGCCAACATGATTCTGTGTTGGGGTCACAGACTTTCCTTCCAAACAGTGGGGGTTACGTGCGGCGGGTCTGCCTTTTCCTGCTCCTGCCCCTCCCACCCTCCTGTTCCAAGCTCACTTAGGCAATCAGGGCAGGCCTCAGAGGTAACTCAGGGCACCTGGCATGACAGAGAGGTGCTAGGGGCCATACGGACAAGAAAGGGGTGTCCTACAGCAAAGACACACAGAGGGCTACTCCTCACTTAGCTTTCCTGATAGCCATTGAGCACTTAAATGTTCCCACGACAACGGCCCCTGTGAGCAAAAGCCAAATCCCTGCTGTGGTCGCCCCTCTGGCCTCCTCAGCCACCTCTTCCCCTCAGCAGTTCCGTCTTCACTGCTCTGTTTTCTCTAATTGGAAACTTAAAGCCCCCCTCTTTGTTCCTCCTAAGGCGGTGCAGCGTATTTTCCTTCAAACCTGCCCGCAGGACGCTAAGAAAGCCAGGGCGCCTGTCCCCTGTCCCCCACCGCTATTTGCCGTCTTTTCTACACAAAAGACCACAGCTGACCAGTCAGAACCTGGTGGGGCTCGGACACGACCAAGCTGGACCTTCCTTAAAGCAGATAATCTTGCTTGAAACCCCCCTTGCGCCATGTGCTGACTGAACGCACTTACCTGAAGTCGGCAGGATGGGTGGACTTCAGCCTAATACCTGCATCTTGTCTGTCTGGTTTTTGCCCCTTCTAACCGCTCTTCCAACCTCGACAACGCTCCCTTTTCTCAAGTAACCCGAGCTTTCTTCAAACCCACAGGCGCGGAAACGAGAGCTCTCTTGTTCCCTCTAGAAGGTCTGGGGGACGCAGAGTGATTGAAAACGCGGATGGGTCTGAGGAGGAGATGGATGCTCGCGACGCAGACTTCAATGGCACCAAAGCCAGTGAATAAACCACTTGCCACGGCATGACCGTGGCAGGAAAACGTGGAACCAAACCAGGCCAATGGACTCTCCTCAGCCCTGTCTGAATCCATGTTCAAATTCTAGGCATCACAGAAACCCCTCACAATGAGCACAGAGAATCCCGCCCTGTGTTCGGGGCGTCCATTGGCGTTGTGAAGGCTGTACCCAAGTGAGAAAACCCACCAGGAGGCCCCCCCTCGCCCCCAGTGAGTTGTGCTGAGATTGAGTCATTAAGAAACTATATCCATGGTAACCAATCACTGGCAACTTAGTTTACATGAAATGGGGAGAAAGCCACCCAAGCGGGTGCCTCTGCCCCCCACTCCCAAGCCATTGCTTGACCTGCAAGCCCTCCCAGCTCCCCGAGCAGGCCCCGGTGTGGGTATTCTCCCTCCTGGTTCCCACACCTCCGACACACAGTTCACCGACCGAGTGCCTTCTGTAGTCACATGAATTCAAAGGAGACGCTGCTCCGGTGGACAGAGCAGGAACATTACACTCTTATATACACCCCGACCCCACGGACCTGAGGACACCGTCACAATAAAAGGCTATAAATCACTAGAACGTGGTCGGAGTCTCTGTTGAGTGGTTTTCCCAGAGCGAAAGGACGGGGCGTTCTATAATCCCCACAGTGACCCACACCGTCAGGGCCTCTCTATCACCAGCAGAGAGACCGAAGCCAAAGGAGGGGGGACCCCACAGCTGGGAGAGCGCAGAGGTGCTCAGTGTGTGTGCCTGGGCAGCCACAGGCTCCAGGGGTACACACACCCTCACCAGTCAAGATCAAAGTGGATCTAACGCAGCAACAAATCCCCCATGACCATCTAGGTTAAAACACAAGACTCTGGGGCCTCCCCGGTGGCACAGCTGTTGAGCGCTGGGTTGCGAAGCTGCCCGCAGCCTCTGTGGCGCCGGTTCGATCCCCGGCTGCTCCCCGGCCACTGGAGGAGGGTCCCGCATGGCGCGCAGACCTCTCCTGCCGCCCGCTGCTCCCCTCAGCAGTGTACTTCGGTCCTTCTGCCTGCTCTGCTTCCCCGCTCTGGTGAATTCTCTCACCCTCCTGCGCTTCTGACTGTACCCAGTGCTTGTATAAATAAATAAATAAATCTTTTGGGGAAAAAAAAAAAAAAAGTCTAAAAAAATTAAAAAATAAATAATAATAATAAAAAAACACAAGACTCTGCCCGGCGGGGGGCACCAATCATTTCCTGTAAAGACCAGAGAGCAAGTATTTCCAGCGCTGTGGGCTCCCGGGTCTCTGTCACGTGTGCGTAAAGCCCATCCTTAGCATGAGGGCTGCCCAGAGAGGCCCTTTCCTCTCCTGCGTGAGTGGACAGCAATTCCACGCAGAGGTTTAGTCAACACAAACTGACCACAGTGACCCCACGGGGCAAAAGAGGTTTGAGAGGGGGCCTCCCTGGTGGCGCAGGGGTTAAGACGCAACCTATGAAGCAATCCGTAGCCACTGCAGCATGAGTTCGACACCCGGCCGGCCAGGGAGAAACCCATATGGCGGGACAGACCTAGACCTCTCCTGTCTCACCCGCTGCTCCCCTCAGCAGTGTACTTCAGTCCATTTGCCTGTTCTGTTACCTGCTCTGTCTCTGGTGAATCCTCTCACCCCCCGCATCTCTGGTCTGTACCCCAATTCTTGTATAAAAATAAATAAATCTTTAAAAAAAAAAAAGAGGTTGGAGAGGAAACAGGGAAACTTTGCAGACTCACCTGAGTGACAACACAGGCCTCCCAGACACAGCCCTAGGAAGCTGACTTGGATGCGAATTTTTTGGACGCAGGTTTTCTTCAAATTCAGTTACTTAGTTAGGAAACAAAAAAGGTTCTCACAGGAGCAAATACAGAAACATCAACCCACGTTAAAGCAGTTATTGACCATCGACAGACAAGCTAGACGTTCGTTTCTCCTGATTTTATTATTCTTTTAAAAAAATAAAAGTACATCTTTTATGGATACAGGTTAGGATGTTTCTAGGCAAAGACCTGGATCCTGAAGTTTGACTTTGCCGAATCTCTCAGTTGCCTCTGAGAAGTTCTGTTTTCATCTCAAGGGTATTTTTGCTGTTTTTTCAGAAAAGTAGCTCAGTGGCCCGAGGGGGGCGGCAGGCCTGCTCCTGACTCAGCAGGTGCTCTACTCCAGAAGTGAGCCACAGCTGGGGGCACTGGGAGCCCTGGGTCCTGGATCCGTCTCTTCTTTGACAAGGAAGCTTCCAACCCGGTGCTTTTATCTGATTTGAAGGGCACCCCAATGATTTCACTATGGCTTTAAGTGAAGTCCTGTTCTTGGGGGTGGCAACACCAAGGCCATGCCACCCCCATTACCTCGAGTCATGAACTAGAGGTCGTCCAGGTGAGGAGGGGGGGTGTCAGGACAGCTTAAAGTGGGATTGATCTAAGGACACAGATTTTCCCACACCTTGGTCCACATGACATTTACCCTGAAGCAGCTTTAAAGGCCTGAGTGAGGCAGATAAAATCTCACAGGCTGACTACACCATAGTAGAAAAAGAAGGCACTTGCCCATCCTATTCTTTGCTCCATCACAGCTGGGCAACAGGGCACCGGAAGGTTTTGTTCTGGAAGGCACCTCCAGCTGAATGGGGGTGGGGTTAGGCTCACAAGCCACTTCTGAGGCATCTCCCGAATTCAGAACAACATTCAAGTCCCATGGGTGAGTTCAAAATAATGGCGCGGCCTCGGCATCCACCTTACAGCCCTGCCAGGGGGCCAGCTTGTCCCAATTTATTTGCAACACACCAATAAGGAAGCCTGGGATAGGGAGACATTTCACAGGGACAACCATGGCGGGGACAGGAAGGGGCCTCGGTCACCGGCAAGGGTGTCTGCTTGCTCATAATTCTCAAACTAACTTAAAAAAAAAGAAAAAAAAAATCCCAACCGCCAAACCCTAGCTTCAAGAAAGGAAGAAAGGCAGCGAGTCCCACACAGACGCCGAGGCTTCGGCGATTTCCTAAAGCAACATCCTGACTACACCCTGAGCTGACGGCAGCGAAGGCGAAGAAGGATTTGAAGGCGGCTTCCCAAATTCCAGGCGTCTCCCCAACCTTCAGACAGAGCAAACCAAGTTAAGCGGACATTACAGCTGGGACACACGGCTAGCCTCGCCTCGGGGCCCACAAAGTCACAGGAGTGGAATCAGGGGTCGGGAGCTGGGTCTCAATTTTCTCTCCTGTGAAACGAAGAAAATGACACTGGCTTTCTAGCACCCCCACCCGCCCAGGCCACACACACAGCCCAGCCTCAGAAGACCCTCGAGAAATATCCACTTCCAAAGGTCCAGAAGTTATGTGCAGGCCACAGAAAATGATTCTTCGCTTCCCATCCTCTGTCTGCCTGATCCACAGACCCACTGAGTTTATGCAGCTTGGGGACCAGCGAGATGGCGGCACTTCTCAGAAAATTCCTGCATCTGGGAGCCGCCCTGAGGTTCCTCTGGCAAGAAAATAATCGGGGCTGTGAGAGGCCAGGTCTGTGTTTTTCATTCGGTGGTGGGTTGGAGGAATCTAGTCTGGCTGGAATTTAGAGCCAGTTTCCTGAAGGTGGCCAATTTTTTTCCCCCTCTTCCAAGGGAAGCAGAGCAGTGTTCAGACAGGATATCCTCACAGCACGACCAGGAGCCGGGCTGGACAATCAAATAAAAATGACCGTCTCCTTGGCCACGTGCTCACAACAGAAGCCGCCACCTGCCTGACTCGGGACCACGGGTGGGGGGTGGAGGAGGTTTGCGGACAATCCCCCAACTTTTAAGCAACAGCTGCTGGTGGGGGCTCGAGGCTCCCACCTATCCAGCAGGTAACGATGGGTTTTCTCGAGGCCCAGGTGGAAGAGCAAAAGATACTGACCCTTTGTCGCCCAGAGGCACACTGGTGCTGCCTGACCGCCGGTCGCCACCATCTCTGCTCTTGCCCCCTCGCCCGGAGGCCGGGCCACTCGTTCGGTTTGGGGACTGATCGTAGACGAAGTTGCGGCAAGATGCGAGTTTGGACTCCAGCGCCTGGAGAGAAAGAGGCTTTCATCTCTCAAGTGAAGACAAGATGTCTGCGCTCACAGGCGCCGCTACTCAGCGATCAGAAGCAGTGGTTCCCAGACTGCCAGGCGTCAGAATTCTAAGGGGGCCCAGAGGAGTCCGGTGCATGTCCAAGTCTGAGAGCTGTGGGCCTGAGGAATTTAGAGCCCCCCTGAGTATTACCCAGGTCTGGATGTCACATGCACTTTTGGAATCTTTCGCTCATGCTCAAGCAAGGGTGCGGGCTGTGGGGCTGGGACAGTGACTTTGCCTTGAGGTCACCCGTCCCTGCAGAAGCCCAAGGGCACTGCAGAACCCCAGGCTTCTCTCTCCTCTGACCGTGCTGACCTTTAAAACAGACTCTGTTCACTTCACAGAAAACCAGACAACCCAAAGCCTAAAGCCAAAACATAAGAAATGGGAGGTGGGGCCTCCCTGGTGGCACAAGGGGTTAAGATGCAGCCACTGCAGCACTAGTTCGATCCTGACCAGGGAGCTACCCACAGGGCACAGCAGACCTCTCCTGTCTTGCCTGCTGCTCCCCTCAGCACTGTATTTCAGTAGATCTGCCTGTTCTGCTCCCCACTGTCTCTGGTGAATCCTCTCACCCCCTTTACCCCTGCATCACTGGCCTGCACCCCAGCTCTTGTACGCATAAATAAATAAATCTTTTAAAAAAAAAATCAGAAGTGAGTTTCTGTGACGTCGCAGCTCTGAATGTCTGGATCCAGGCAGTGGCAGGCTGGCAGGATTTAAATTATGTGTTCCCAGCATCAATTTAAAAAATGAAAGCAACGAGTTACAAAGAATACCTATGTTATTTCTTAAGCAGGCAAGAACGCTTCCCTGTAATTAATGTAAAGCCTGTATGGTCAAGTTCTTTGCCCTAGGAGTTCAAGATTTCGCTCTTGAACTCCCTGAGGATTAAAAGAGAAGGCAATTTTCAAATGTCTCTCAAGACCAAAGACAACATCGAAATCCCCAAAAAGCAAAGGAAAATCGACCAGGAAAGGATATGCCCAGGGATCACTGGAATGACTTGGGCTCAGAGATTGGGGTGTCTATTAATCACTGGGCCTCCTGACAATCCTGAGGACCCTTCAAAGCCACACCGAGAACCCCACAAGTCCCAGCTTGGGGGAAGGTACTGGTGCGGTCCACACCCTCAGCCTCTGAAGGATGGCAGGAAGCCCCAGGGAGGCGCCGCCTTACCCCGACTTTTCGCAGGAGGTCTCCCACGATGTTGAGGGCCGATATCCGTGCTGCAGGGGTGAGGGGGGTCCCGCCCGCAGAGTCCTCCAGACCTGAGTGTGCAAAGGGAAGCACATGTGACACTGGCCCACAGCCAAAGGAGTGCACTAACATCACTGAAGGCAGGACAGGGGTGGGTGGGAGCACCTGACAGCTTCCCTTTGCTTCTAGAAGCTGCCCTATGTCATTCAACAGTTGCTGTACAACACAAGAGTCCATCTGATGACCCACTTTTTGCGGGCTTACTACTGCATTATTTTTCTTGACAGGTTGTTCTTTTTAAAAAAAAGCAAAACAATTTGGTTTAAACATTTTGTTTAAAAATCAAAACAGGGCCTCCCTGTTGGCGCAAGGGGTTAAGCACCGCACTATGAAGCAATCTGCAACCTCTGCAGCATGAGTTTGTTCCCCAGCCAGCCTGGGAGCAACCCACATGGCACCGCAGACCTCTCCTGTGTCGCCCGCTGCTCCCCTCAGCACTGTGTTTCAGTCAGTCTGCCTGTTCTGTTCCCTGCTCTGTGTCTGGTGAGTCCTCTCAACACCCCCCCCCCCACATCTCTGGCTTGTACCCCAGCTCTTGTATGCATAAATAAATAAATCTTTAAAAAAAAATCAAAATAATTTCTGGAGATGCTAGGAATCGCAGATTAGTCTACAAGAGCAGTGTCTGAGCGGGCGAAGCTGAGCGGCTCTCGCCGAGCCTCGTTCCTCCCGGTGACTCCAGGATCGCCTGGGCCCTTGTTAGACGAGGGACCTTGGTCCTGCCCAGACCTGCTGAATCCGAGGTGTGTGCTACCAGGTGTCTAACCAAGCCGTGTAGAAACGAAAACTCTATTCTGACCACAGGCCCAAGACACAAGGCAGGCAGGTACCTGCCCCGCTGATGGACGAGACCGGCGCTTGCCGAACGTCAGGATATCCTCACAGCACTGCCACCCACGCCTGGTCCCTTAGCCCATATCCAGGGAGGAAGAGCTGCCCTGCCCCATCAGCACCCTGTTTTGCGTCCTGCTGTGACGCGAAGCAAATCTCCCCGATCCCCGCTCCCCTCACCTCGCCTGAAGGTGGCCGGTGTGCTGACGCTGGAGCCGGGGCCTCGATGAGCCGTGGGAGTGGACGGCACGGAGCCCGTGGCCTGCACAGCCGTGTCTATCCTTTCAGCCTCCGCTGGGCCGGGCTTGGGGGTCCTGGGCTTGTCCTGCTTCTGCTGCACAGCCAGCTCCTGCCGCAAGTCTGGCCAGGCAAGGGTTCACGTGAAGGCCTGCTTTGAGTAATGGGGTGGGGGTGCAGTGGGGGCTAACACAGACGTGGGTGGGGGAAGCACTACCAGCTGAAAGTTCCACATAAACCCTGAAGGAAGGGGAACCCGTGGGACCTGCCCACTGGACTGTCTGGAAGGCCAGAAAAAGGACCCTATTCCTCTTTTCAGTAATAAGCAAAAAGTTCCAGGAAATGTTTAAACTATCATAAGTGACACAGTCACACTTTTGTTTAAAAAAATATGCCCACACAGCAGATGGGCAGAATCCTGAGTGAAAACAGACTCTCCTGACACCCCAAATGCCCTTCCTCACATGTACCCACTCTCATGTGTGCAGTTTGTGTCTGTCTCGCTTCACCAAGCACGTACCTAATTGTCATTAAGCACAAGTGGAAACACGTCTACTGGGACTGATCTCCTGCTTCAATGGTGGGTTTAACCACTTTCCTGTGACTGACACAACGCACATCTATACTTGTTCACCTTAAGGAAAGTTTCAAATTCCATGAGTCCATGAGATTCATGTAACCACTCCAATACTGATGCACAATCAGAAACAAAAGTTTCTTTCTTTTTAATCCCATTTCTGCTGGCTACACCTCAGAAACCAATTCATTTTATACACAATTAATTGGGACCTAAAAAAAAAAAATCAATCTCCTGTTGCTAAGAAAGATCCTAAAAGTTCTCATCAGAAGAAAAAAAAGGTGCAGCTAAGTGGGGGATGGATGTTAACTAGAGACTGGGGTGATCCCTTTGCTATAACAGTTATCGAATCATTACACTGTATACCTGAAACATACAATAGTATGTCACCATTTTAGAAAGTGTTTTATCTGTGAAGTCTGATAATTCTGGGGTGTAGCTGGAGTGTAAAAACACAAGTTAAAAAGGTATTTCTCAGAGCACTAATTCACCACTATCACGGGCTCACTAGCAATTCCATCAACAGCGATTTCCTCTCTACGAAATGCTTGTGTTCTTTCTGAGCAAAAAGCTGGCTTGGGGTTAAAACAGGCACAAGGGGTTTGACAGGCTCGATGTGATCATTTTCCACCCAGGGCAGGGACGAGGGCCGGGGCCTGCTGGGTGTGGACCCCGCCCTCTTAACACACAGTCCCTGTGCAGATCTCCAGCAGAGGAAGTGCTGGGCCAGCTGCGGGACAGGACGTTCCCAGTGGGAGAGAGGACGGTGCTGGTGGGACACACAGAACACAGCAAGGCCTCCTGACCTCTGGCTTCATCCTTCAGCCGCTGAACCGATTCTAGGAGGTTCTCCTTCTCGTCCAGCTCACTCTCCAAGAAGGCGTTTCTCTCAATGGCTTGATTCAAGCGCTGCTCGAAGTCTTCCAAAGACATGATTGTGGCCCTGGGTAAGAGGCAAGCAGAGCTGTCAGCCTGGTGCCCAAAGACCTGGGAGAGGAAGTGGGGGAACACAGGGCATGAGCCCCACATGGGCCTGAGCAGCCCCTTAACCTGCCAAGACCCAGTGCTCCACCTGTAGACTGGGACTTTCTCAGCTCAGGAGGAACATGAGGCCATCCTAAGGATTAAAGGAGATGGTGCCCACAGGGCACTTGGCAGTGAGTCTTATTAGACCATGTCTACTGCCAAGAGCTGCACGCACCTTGTTCTCCAGGAGACTCCTAGGCTATCCAACTAAATGCACACATAGTGCAGTAGCATGCATTTTAAGCAGGTAGAAGAGACCACACCTTTAATCGCTCAGTTATCATAAGCACTTTTCAAAGTTCAGCATGCTAAGTCTCAGCCCCAGTGCCCTGTTAAGCCACTACTTCTTGGGAACAGTGGAGACATCTCCCTGGAAGGCACTGAGAAGTGCTGTAATAAAGAAATCTGTTTAACTCAGGCACAGAGAAGGGAGCTTGCCAAGTTTACTCATGTGTAGAGCAAGGTAGCAGTAAAAGGACCTTCAAAAGGCAGAAGCGGGTGCGGGGAGGAGGAGGGAGTAATACCCAAACACACAACAGGTAAGTGTCAGCAGTTTTCATTCCTGACTGTGCATATGTCTCAAGAAGACCTTGAGCAGCTGCTAACTGCATTTCTCAGTGGTTAGCAGGTTTGGGGTGCAACCCAAGAGTCAGCACCTGGCTCTCCCTGAGAGACCAGCTAAGTGCCCTTGGGCAACTCCAGTCTTTCCCCAGCAAACGAGGACCAATGCACTCGTTTATTAAATCCATTATATTAAAAAACTCAAAGTTACTCATAACTCAGAAATGCACCTACTCACAGGCAGAAATCCAAAGTTTGGGAACTTTGAAGTCATCTGGAAAACAGTGACTTACATATTTGTTGGAAATGTTTCTACGCAAAGAACAATGGAGCAAGAACTATCAACATCACATATGCATAGATCCTTTGACCTGGCTTCTGGGAATTTGTTCTGTAAATATACATCTATGTGAGCAATGCTCTCACATCCATCACAGCCATGCTTAGCACTGCAAAAGAATGGAGATGCAACAAATACATCCAGAGGAGATTAGATAAATAATTACAGCTTCATACAATACTAACCACACCATATTTGCATTGGGGGAAAAAGAACAAAGGATGCTCTGTGTATTCACACAGGGAGATATCCAAGATCTATTGTTACGTGAAAAAGTGAAAGTACAATGGTGTGTACAGAATGCACTTTTGTGGGGGGGGGGGAAAGAAGGGCTTTACATAAATTTCTACTTGCTTGATTTACATAAGAAGCCCTACCCCTTTGTATATTATTTTTGAACTACATGAATGTACTACTTCTTTGCAGTACAAGTCTTCTCCCTCCCGGCATCCACAGCCTTGCTGCAGACTCCATCTCCCACCCTTAACAGGGCTGGGCCATGTGACTTGCACAGATCAATGATATATTGACAAGTCAGTGGCCAGCCAGAAATCAGAACATACTATAAAGCCACAGTAATCAAGTTATTATGGTACTGGTATAGTATTTCGCTGCACCAAACAAAGAATCTAGAATTATATCCCATGACATAAGAATGGTTAACATATGACAGAGTTTAGCTCATTTCACTATTAGAAAAGATGGAGTGCTTAATAAATAGTGCTGACATCAATGGGTTATACTGACCCAATGAAAGTCAAATTGGAAGCCATACTTCATACTAGATACAAAAATTAATTCCAGGTAGATTAAATGCATTATGTGTAAGACAATGAAGCAATAAAAAAATAACTTGCAGGACCTCGCTGGTAGCACAAGGGGTTAAGACACAACCTATGAAGATATTTGCAGCCACTGCAGCATGTGTTTGATCCCCAGGCCAGGGAGCTACCCACATGGCGTGGCAGACCTCTCCTGACTTGCCCACTGCTCCCTTCAGCAGTGTATTTCAGTCAGTCTGCCTGTTCTGTTCCCCACTCTGTCTCTGGTGAATCCTCCTACCCCTGCCACACCTCTGGCCTGTATCCCAGTTCTTGTATGCATAAATAAATAAATCTTCAAACTTGCAAAAAAAATGTATGAAAATCTCTGCCATCAAAGGATGGTCATTTCCCTAAAGAAGTATGGAGCCCTAGAAGGTACGGAAGGAGACATAGCTGATGACCTAAAAATGAAAAATGTTTGTAAGAAAAATAATACCACAAAGTCAATAGACAACAGGCATTCTTTAAAAGCTATTTTCAACACAGGACAAAAGACAAAGACTGTAGCAAAAATATTACAAAGAGCTCTTACAAAATGACAAGAAAGGAGAGTCCACTTCTGGCCATGCTTAAAGCAGCTTGCATCAGACCAAAACTCCTATAAGCTCTGGGTAAAACATAAAAGACAATTACCTGAAGGTCTGGCAAAAACTAGAAGGGAGCCAACACTTGGATGAAGGGAGCAGTATGGAGTGAATTTTGCATCTCTATAAGCTTTTTATTACAGCTCCAGTGATAGAAATTCACTACCACAGGAGAGTCCCAGATTCTGATATAACCCCTCCCCACCTCTCTAGCTGACCCCTAAACCATGTGTGTGCGTGAGAGACTTGATGCAGCCCAATGAAGACGAAATGAATGGAGTCATCTTCAGCTACTGCCCATCAAGAGACAGTTTAGAGTGAGTTCAGCTTAGTAAACAAACAAAAGCAACAATGTGACATCATTCACACTTTCCAGAATACAATCCAAAATTATTAGACACTTGCAGAGCAAGGAAGAAGTGACCCAAACTCAAGAGAAAAGGCAAAATCAACCTGAGACAGCCCAGAAAATGGAATCAGCAGAAAAGGGCTTTTTAAAATAACTACTTTACCTATGGTCAGGATGTGGGGAAAAAAAAAAATCTCCAAAGGAGAAATTGTTTTTTTTTTTTTTTTTAATACAGCAAAATATGACATCTAGAATAAAACATTGGAACTGACTTAGCAGACTGGAGAAAGGGGGGTGGCGGGGGTCACTGAGCTTGAAACTATCAATAGAAATTATCCAATTTGAGGCAACAACAGGGAAAAAAAAAAAAAAACAGTGCCTCAGGGACCTGCATGACCTATCACAAGGACTAATGTATGTCACTGGTAACCTGGGAGAGAACAGGAGAGGAAAGATGTTTGAGCAAATAATGACCAAAGTTAAATTTGGCAAAAGACAAATATACAGATGAACGAAGCCCAGCAAACCCCTATCCAGGTGCATAAATACAAAATCCAGGTGTGCAAATCAACGGCCAAGGAGCAACATGAAGAAAGACAACAGACCATACCGGAGAGTGACTAGTCCACAGAGCACTACCGCCTGACCCGAGGAGACAAGGGGCAACCGCTTCAGAGCTGAAGGCAAATGGAAGACCTGTCAAGACAGAACTCGCCATCCAGGGAGGATGCCAAGAAGGCAGGCAAAGACGTGGTGCATGAGTACAATGGCATGTACTCAGTCATAAAGAAAGATGAACGCTTGTCATCTGGGGCAATGTGAATGACCTTGAGGGTGCTGACCTAAGTTGGGGGGAGAAGGAGGGAGAGAAAGAAAGAAAAGAGAGAGAAAGAGAGAGAGAGAGAGAGAGAGAGAGAGAGAGAGAGAGAGAGAGAGAGAGAGAGAGCAAGAGACTGACTGCAGGATTTCCTCCATACTGTAATGTAAAAAAACTAAACGAATGAACAAACAAAACAAAAACTAGAGAAATCATCTGGTGGTTACGGAGGGGAAGGGAGCTGGTGAAATGGGCAAAGGGAGTCCGGTGTGTGGCAATGGAGGGAAAAGGAGACTTTTGTTTGGTAGTGATGGTGCTGCAGTGTAGACGGAGGTTGAATTACAATATTGTACTCCTGCAACTTATACACCAGTGCTTACTAAATCAAAATTCACTTAAAAAGGAATGAAGGCAAAATAAAAACATTTTCAAATAAACCAAAACTAGAAGAATTCAACAGCAGCAGACGTGCAACGCCAAGAAATCTTAACGGACGTTCTTCAAGCTGAAGGGAAATGATAGTGGAGGCAAAGTCGGATCTTCAGGAAGGAAAGAAGAGCATCAGGAATGGAAAATACCAAAGGCTATCTTTTCACCCTCTTGATTTCTCTAAATATACTTGGCCTTTTAAAGCAAAAACTCAAACAATGTATTGTGACAATCCGCAGCCGCCGAAGACGTAAGGGCTATGACAAGGGTAACATCAAGTTCAAGGATAAAGGAAACTGTGAGGTTGCGAGGTGGGTTGCGTTTGCTCTAAATGGACAACATTAACTAAACTGTGACTATCTGGTAATGCAAAGAAGAGGGGTGGGGAGGAGGCAAGGCAAGGAGCCGCACACGTAAGCCCTAAGCAGGTCACTGTGTGTAATTTATATCCAAAAAAATTTGTAAGGGTTTTCTTTAAAGCACAGGTCTGGCTCAGGGAAACTATACAATAAGCACGGAACACCTGGTCAGGAAATACCGCTGGCTGGACACAGGACTTCCTGTCCTCTGCCCAGACGCTCTCACTCTTCTGGATCGTGTCGACACATCCCTCCATCTTAGCCCAAGGCATTTCCTCTGGGCAGTCTTGCCATGACATACCCCACCAAGGACGGGATGAACACCTCTATCACCCGCCCCCAGCATCCTGACTTTTGCTCACAGCTGCGAACAAGTGGCACTTCCTTCCTCTGAACCAGCAGTCTCCACCAGGACCCTGGCCTGGGTGCTCGCTGCTGAGTTCTCCACACTCAACAGAGGGCTGGTCCCCAGCTGCTGGGGGCAAAGAGCGGAGACCAGAGGCTCCAAGACCCACCTCCTCCTTCCCAGCTTACCGCTTGGCTCGTTCCAGGTCATCATTGGCTTGCTCCAGCTCTCGGATGTACTTCTGCAGCTGGTCTTTAATGGCTTTTGTCTGGGCAAGGTCGTCCTCCAGGGCGGAGATCTGTCGGTAGCCTTCCGAATGCTGCGTCTCAAACTTCTCCTGGAAGACAAAATCCATGAGTGAAGGACTGACGACTCGTGGTCAGCACTGAGTCTTGCCTCCACTCCAGCTCCTTAAACACTCAGGTCCTTCCTGGCTCCAAGGCCTCCTGTTGCCGTGACCATTCTTGCCGCCCCACGCCCCGCCTGCACCCTCATCATCAGAGAAGTTCTCTCTCCCTAACTAGAGGGTCTCCCATCTCACCCACTGGGGAGGCTGCAGGGCTCCTCCCCACAGCCACGACCAGGCCTGAGCTCAGTCCACAGGACCAGCTCTCACAGATGTGCCTCAAATTGGTCTGAGCTGAGCGCCTCCTGCATCCTGTCCTCTCCCCAACCAGCAGCCTCTGGATGTTCAAGAAGCCCCCAACCACCTGCAAAGAAGTCATTTCACTCAAGGTATGCACAGCCCCAGAAAGCTATGGAAACCTCCCCAAGCCTCATCCAACAGAGCAACCTGGGCCCAGGTCAGGTGCCGTCCCTGGAGGACGAGAACATAGGGAATCAGACGCTAGTGGCATCTGACTCCCAGGAGCAGGGCCTCATGTACCAAGATGACAACAGTTCTGAGTCTGTGGCCCAGGAAGCAACCCTGCAGTGGGGGGCACTTAGGGGGGACTTCTGGACCTCTGGGGAAAGGAAGGAAGGAGGGAACAAAGAAACGGAGAAAAAAAGAAGCCTGTTATTAATTGCAAAAAGAAAGCTTGGCGTGATCTGGCTCTGCTTCCCAAAGGCAAAGACCAAAGGCAAAGCAGGCTCCTGACACCCGCTGTGGCCCAACTGCAGCAGCCGCCCCGGTGGCCACTCCCAGAGCTCAGCAGAGTCCACTGAGTCAAGATGAATCCAGGCCAACCGGGCCGATGCTCCTAACGCAACGCCAGACCGAGAAGCCGTCCAGCCCAACTGCACTCACACTCCACACACCCGCAGTCCTCATCACTTGCTCAGAGGCCACACGCGCACATACACACTCACACACACACGTGTGCACACAATGTTGCTCTAGTTCCTCTTTCAAATTCTGTTCCTCCAGCAAACACCCTTCCTGGATCCTACACTTGTGAAAAAAAAAAAACACTTCCCACAGGAAAGGTCTGAATGTAACTAGAAAGTTTAAAAAAAAAAAAAAAAAGGCACATTCCCCTCCTTTACTCAGTGGAGTAAACAAAAGCGTTGCTAGAAACAGTCTGGTTGCACCAGGGAGATGACATCATGTGCGTTGGCGGGCGCCGAAAAGGACAGCCACCCCGGAAGCCACAGGCCGTCGGGGTGAGCACGGTAGGGGTGGGTTGGGGCGGGGCTGCTGGGTCCCGGAGGCCCTGCTTCCAGGGGTGAGCAGGGGCAGCCCTTGCGCCCCCAGGCCGTGGGGCGGGCAGGGCTCTCCTGTCCCACCCCCCTCACTAGGGTGCGTCTCCACATGAAACAGGAGGGCACAGGTCCTGGGTCATTAACTGACATTCAAACATGGGTTCCCAGAGGATGTGGCAACAGGTTCTTCCCGGGTGTGAAGGTTCAAACGATCACCTCCACACACGCAGACTTGAAAGCTGCTGCTGGGACGTGACGTTGCGTGCGGGGCTCGTTATAATGAGCTGTCAGCCGGGGGAAGCCACAATAGGCGCTCTGTGTGGGGCCCACAGGCCTTTCTGTTCAACTTGTGATGAATGCGCCTGTTGTCAAGAAGGGCCCAACTAAGGCATTTCTCCAGGAGGCCGACAAACATGAGGGTTTTCCTTACCCCAAGTCTCTTCTGCCCCTGCGTGGCGCTCTAAGCCCTGTACCTCCGTCAAGCGGCTGTAACCAAGGGGTCTTCCGTGGGCTCAGGGGTGCCGTCCCTGAGCTACTTGGCAGTTGCACCATGTCCATTCAGCACCCCCGAGGCCGCCTCCTCTCCCCCACACTCATCCTCCTGCACCCCCTTTCCATCCTGAGTTCCCCTTGACTTAAGGACTGCAGTGGTGCTGAGGCACCTGTTGGCAGCTGAGTGGGGTGGGGCAGGGGTGGGGAAAAGCAGCCAGTGACATGTCCCCCAGTGTCAGAGATACCGGGGAGGGGACACCTTGGGGACCGGGATGACCCGCAAAAAGCTGGTTCTAGGTCAGCAGCCACTACTCGGCTTTTGCTGGTGTGGACGACGGCCTGTGTGGCCACCTCTCCTACTTCTCCAGAGAAGGCAGAAATGCAGATTTTTACCGATTCACGACTTTGAAGGTTGATGTTGAACATTTGAAAAACACTGAAGAGCTGTATTTTCCTTCAAAAGGCACAGCAAAAGCCCCGACTCTGGTGAGCGCTGAGCACACTGAGCATGCACAGGCAAGTGTACAGGTGTCTGTGATTGACTTTGAATGCAGCAGAAAGGCAGACTGACAGACGGACAAATATCTAACAAAAAGCAAGCACAGCAGATGGGTAGAGCCTCCTGGTGGATAGACAGGACTTCACCAGAAGATTCTTTCAACCTTGCTATGCACTTGAAAACTTTCTGCTAAAACACTCAAGACCACACTCAGAAGGCAGCGAGCCTGGGCGTGCTGGCCTGCAACATAAAAGCTTTGGCGCCACCCCTCAGCTTCCAAGGCCGTTGGCACCAGCCCTCTGCCACTCCCTTCCCTCCATCTACTTGGGCCTCGCTTTTCTCCACGTATAAGCAAAGACAGGATTCCCAAAGTCCACTTAATGCTCACTCTTGCCTGTGTCTGTGTCCTTCTCATCAACCCCTGTACACACACAAACAAGATATGCTTCACCTTGGCACACGAGCTCAGGTACAGTCCCACTCCTGATGAGCCTGTCTCACCCCACATCTTTCTTTCTCAGGTCAGTGCTTCAGGAGCCAGGCACCCTCCCCTAACAGCTCTACAGCATTCAGCTGGTCTCATCCTCGAAGCTTCCCAGCATGTCTCCTTCTACCACCCGTCTCCCCCAGCCCCGAGCACACACTGCTGGGCCTCAGCTCTTTCTCCCAGCAGGTCATCAAACGTACATGGGAGATTTAAAAGAAAAACAAATACACACAGGCACACAGACGTGACGGGGCCTGGCCCTGACTGAGAGCAGAATATCAGGGTGGGGTGGGTGCGGCCTGTCTGAGGTGTATGAAGCTGGCCAGGCGACCTGCCTGGCAGTGAGGCCACTGGTTTACTTGGTCACCTCTGATGAGCCCTATACAATGTACAGAAGCCGTGTCTGCCCTGGAAAGCAGAGCTTCCCCAGAGATTGGCCCTGTCACAACTTGAAGGAGGGGCCACTACTGGCGTCTAGTGCGTAGGGACCAGGGACACTGTCCAATGTCCTCCAGTGCCCAGGCCAGCCCCCAAAAGAGCATCTGATCTCCAAGGTCAACAGTGCCCAGGCCTGCCTTAGATCAGCAACATCCAAAAGAACTTTCTGTAATTATGGAATCAATCCACAAACTATGGAAACAGGTCCATAACCACACCCAAGAGGCCCCTGGGCCCTTGAAAGGTGGCCATTATGACTGAGAAACAACATTTGAAAATTTTTTAATATATTTAAATGTCAGCAGTCACCTGTGGCCTGGAAGCCACACACCAGTCCCACTGTGCAGCTCCGGATCCAACCCTGTACTGACCACAATCGTAGTCATACTCCATGCTCTGAAGACCCCTGGTGGGATTATTCTAGAAGGCCAAGAGCAGCTAGGAGACACCTATGAAACTTGCTTCTCCCAGAGCTTCCCCCACCTGGGGCACCAAGGGCTCAACTCCCACATCGACCCCACAGCCTGGGGTGGGGGGAGTGGCCAGGGCAACAGCCCCTCACTCTGCAGGCTCCTTTCCCAGTCACTGCGACTCTGTGGTTTATAAGAAATACGCGTTTGGTCATTTGTAGCACCAAAATGTATTTCTCAAGTCTATCTGGTATCCACCCACAAGTCCCCCGCCCTTAGAATTTCCCAAGGTTGAGTAGTAAAGGTGACATAAATGAGGTGGCATTTTGGGAAGCACCTGGGGCGGCTGCCAGGGGAACCAACCATGTGGCGAGAGATTTGAACTTCCAGTCCCAACCCCTGATCTCTGAGGAGACAGGAGGGGCTGGAGTGCAAGCCCCATCACCAGTAGCCAATGATTTATTCAATCATGCCAGAGTAATGAAGCCTCTGCGAAAACCCAAGAGGGCAGGAGCTTCCAGATTGCTGAGCCTGTGGAGATTTGGGGAGAATGGCACGTCTGGGGGCATGGAGGCCCCATGCCTGGTCCACTCCTCACCCCAGGCATCTCTTCTACCTGACTGGTCCCAAGTTACATACAGCTGGTGTTGTCATGAGGAGACTCAGGTTTTCCTGAGTCCTGTGAGCCGCTCTAGCAAGTCAATCCGCTGACCTACAGCCAGGCGTCAGAAGCACAGGTAACAATCCAGGCTTGTGACGGGCACCTGAGTCTGTGGAAGTATTGGGAGCCTCTCACAACCTGGGCTCGTCTAAAAAGGAGGGTGGTCTTGGGTAGAATCTGATGCTGTCGACACCGGGCTGGTGCCTGAAACTGTTGGTGTCAGGAGGCCTCCATACCCACCCACGTTGCAACGGGGTTCAGGGACCCTATTCAGTCACACACACCATGCTGGAAACCTGTCTTTACCCAAGTGCGTTTCCCGGCCCCCTCACCTTGATGGTTTCCAGCTCCATGCGAAGGCGGTTATTTTCGGACAGGAGGTCCCTATTCCTGGTTTCAATTTGTTGCAGCTGCGTCTCCAATTCTGCTTCATATTCTCGACTCCCCTCCTGGAATTCTCGGAGTTCCTCTTGTGTATTCTCCGCCCTACAGCAGAAGTCCCAGATGTCAGATCGTGGCCTATTAAGCGCTTACGTGTCACAGAGTGTTACACTTGGCTGGCTCTCTAGTCAACTGCCCTTTTTTTTTTTTTTTTTTTTTTTGGTGGGACCCTTGCCGGCAGCTGGGGAATGAACCGGCGCTGCAGAGGCTGCGGGCAGCCCAGCGCTCAACCGCTGAGGCACCAGGGGAGGCCCGTCAACTGTCTTTTATGGCAGAAACAATCATTATCCTCATCTTGCAGATAAGATAAGGTTTAGACAAGATGAGTGATTTGTCTCTAAAGGTCACACGAGTGAGAAACAGAACTTGGCCCTGATCTCCGAAGCCGTTTCCTCACCAAGTCACTCTTGACTCATTCATTCAACACGTATCTTTTGATACCAGTACATAGTAAATACTGTGGATTTATAGTATCTGCTGCAGACTTATTTATAACAAGGAATTAGACAGGCGGTAAATACTTATCACACCACTACAATCCAGCCCATCCCAAATATCCAAATCTGGTTTCTCAATCTGCAAAATTCAAGGGACTCGAACACAAGTCTGAATTGATCTTTAAGAACATCAACATTGGAGGGACTGGAATCAGGCCTCCGCATGAAGGGTCCATGAGAAATAAACAATGCTGAGCACATATGTGCACACACATACACATACACACCATACTCATACTCACTGGCTTCAAATTTAAAAAAATCCACACCAACATATTTTGCAAGGCATAGGGAGAAGTTCTTCCATATGGCATCTGGGAACTGATAAGACCCAGCCAAAAAGTAAAATGGGAAGTAACACAGCAGGTTGCTCAGCACTTTGGAGTTCAAATTCTAGCTGTGTGACCTTGGGCAAGTTATCTGCCTTTTTGGAGGCTCCACTTCCCCACTTGTAAAGTGGGGTGCTAATAGTGTGCAGCTCTGGTCTGACCTGAAAGTTTATGACAAGCCCTTCCCGGTGCTGGTCACATCATGGGCCCTCACTGGACACCTGAGCCATCAGTTCAGGAGAAACAACAGGTGAACTTGGGGGAACTGACCTCTGCTTGTAGGTCATAGCCAGATCTTTCCAGTAGTTAGCTTCTTCCTCCTCAGAGCTGAAAGTCTTTCCTGAGTCCTCCATTGTGAAGACGGGGCAAGAGATCACTCTTGTTGTGGCATGGTGTCTAGAGAGAAGGTGTTAAATCATTACCCACATCTGTCAAAATAGCTGATCTTTACTGGGAGAAAAACGGCCAAACTTTACTTTGGATTAAATGACAAAGCATTGCCAAAAAACTGAAGCTAAATTCAGATACAATACAGCTCACCGCATGTTCCATTCCATGGGTCAGTGTCAAGGCTTAGTATATTGGGCCACAAAAGATTACTGAGCAACTACTATAGGACCTAGGAATCCAAGCCAAGTGTCTCCAAGATCCCTGTTTCCCTTCAAGGGCTTGACAGTATGGTAAGGGAGAGATTTACCTGTAAATTATCATCAAACTATATGGGGCACGCAGCTATGAAATGTGCTCAGGATACTGACACACAATAAATCACATTTATTTATACAATTTGATGTTTTTTTTGACATATGTATACATCAAAAACATAAATATCTGTGGCCCAATATACTAAGCGTGGACATTGACCCATGGAATGGAACATGTGGCTGAGCTGTATTGTGTCTGGATTTGGCTGAAAAGCCACTATCACAGTCAAGATAATAACCATTTCAACTAGTGCATAAGGGATGTAAGGACTTGCAAACTCAACCGAAGAGTCAAGGAAGGCTTCCTGGAAGAGGTGGTGCATGAGCTGCAGGAGAAGATACAAAAGGATAGGAAGATGAATGGCGGAGAAAGAAGGTACTGAACAGAAGGGACACAGTCAGGCTTGCGGGAGGAGCGAGAGGGAGTCAGGTAGGCCTGGGTTGCAAGTTGAAGGGGAGGGAAGCTGGACAGATGAACATGGAGGGGCTAGATCACCAAACCATTGCCTATAGCGTAAGAGCCCAGAGTCCATGCAAACTGTAACGAGTACATAAGGCCATGGAGGCACTGGTGATCTTATTGAGGGCAGTCTCGATCGCAGAGCATGGGAGGAAGTCTGCACACAACAGGGTGAAAAAGCAAGAACTGAAATGATGAATGTAGACTAACTCCTGCTGGTTAGAAAAAGGTCAAGTACAAGGTTCAGGGTCATTGGTCCCTCCCTACTCCTCACTCCACTAGCTAATGCTCCACCACACTGCCTTTTCAGTTTCCCGAACACACAAAGCACGCGCCCTGCCTCAGGGTCTTTGTGCTTGCTGTGTCCTTTACCGGGAATGCTTTTTCCTCAGCTCTCTGCCCAGGAGGCATCCTTCTCACAATTCATCTCTCAGCTGAAATGGCCTCCGCAGACACCTTACTGGACACCTCACCTACTACCCCTGCAGCCCATTGCTATCATATAAACCACTGCTTTGTCGCATTTCAACACTACATGAGTTTTGTTTTTATCTCCTTCCACTGGAATGTCAGCTGTTAAGCGTTAGAGACCTTCCATGTCTTTCTTTTTTTTTTTTTTAAGCTCCATTGCCTAGATCAGTGTGTGGCATAGAACACTCTCAATAAATGCTGTGGGATGAAGATGGGGAAGCGTGAGACTGATCACCAGCAGGACAGGGTCGTGAGGTTAAGAAGAGATAGAAGATAGTGGCAAAAGACCAGATTATTAAAAAAAAAAAAAAAAAAAGAAGAGATAGAAGAGATCCTCTGAAGACCCGTTTATAGTTTACACCTGTAAATCCCTAAGACGCTTATCAGGATGGGGAAAACCTTTCTCCCCCAGCACCCAAGTGGCACCTCATCAAGGGCAGGATTGCATGAGAGGAGATCAGGCTGGAAACTAACAACACCCACACCCACACCAACAAGCTTACACAGTAAGCAGCACCTGACACAGTTTCTGGAGTTTAATCACCTTCATCCAGCACTCTCAGGACAGATAGGTTTTAGAGGAAAGGCTTCTTCAAACATTGTTATTGCAGCCACTAAAGCTTAAAAATCCTCAGGAAAGAAATGAATTTGAGATGTTTTAGGAGGCACATGTATCGCAGGAGAGGCTCTAATTACAACTGTGTGGATCAAAAGGACCTAGTTTGGATGTCAGGGTCTGCACTGCCTTTGACTTCTGAATTTCAACTAAAGGGCAAAAACCACAGGCTTGGTATTTCAGCCCAAACCCCAGCATTTTAAAAACAACGGTTAGGAAAGAGAGAAAACATACTAGAGGCTAAGAGGGAAGAGGAACAACTAAACCTTGATTTGTCATGAAACAGCAATAATAAATGTAATTTTTTTTTTCCTTTGCCATTTGGAAATGTCCCAGAAAGTTCTAATCTGCATTATTTTCTGCCACAGAAAGCAGATGACTTGTGAAGGGCCCCTTCTTCCAGCATTACTTACTGGATTTTGTCACCACCTTCTGTCTGTTATGTGCTGGGCATTTAAGAATCGTTCCCTAGTTCCCCCGACCCTTGGTTCCAGTTACCCCTGGTTGACTGTCCCTTGGTTCCAGTTACCCCTGGTTGACTGCGGACAAAAATATTACATACAGTAAGATATTCTGACAGTCACAACTCTCGTTACAGTGTATCATTGTTTCTTCCATTGCATTATCATTGTTGTTAATCTCTTCTGTACCTAACTTTTAAATTATCATCTACACTATTTTCATTATATTATACCGCCATTTTATTATTAGTTACTGTTGTTAATCTCTTGCTGTACATAACTTGTAAATTATCATAGGTATGTATCAGTCTATCAGAGTTGGGTGATACCAACAGTTTCAGTCATAAAGGGGTAGGAGAGGCGCAGGGCTCTTGGAACAATGCATCCCCTGCAGGTAAAGGGAAACCCTCTTTTCAAACAGTGGTATCCTCTTTAAGTCATTCAATTGTGAAGGGGAGACAGGCAAGGCAATGGCCCCCTTTCTTTGGAGCAGAAACATGGGGTGCCTTGGCCATCTCACAGCGCAAGTGAGCAGCAGAGCCCAAGCCCAAGTGCAAGGTCTCTGACTTCAAACTGAAAGACTCCCTGGGGTTGCAAACAGACTGCGGGCAGGCAGATGGACTGTTACTGGACCCAGTGTCTTTTCAAAGGCACTGTCAAGGGTAAGTGGGAAGGCCTGATCATGGGTCACACAGCCATATACCCACTATCTTGAAAACGGATACTGCATACATGTGCTTCATCTGTGCTACAGGCATTTGGTCTCCTAACCTGCAGCCTCCACACATGGTGCCCAGCTGCTGTGCTGCCAAAGCTAATGGGCATTTCAAATGTATGTGCTGTAAGCAAGGACAGGCTGGGATCCAGTGGCTTGGCAAGATCTAGTCCTTCCACCAAAATGTGTGTTTCCCATAATTAAACTTACCAGGAAGTCTACAAAGAGACTTGAGATACCCACCCACCTGATTTCAAAACTCTAGGAGAAAAAAAAAAGCAATCTCTCAATGCTTTCCTCTGAATGCAGAGAGGCACAGGTGGTCCTGGGCAAGGCACCCTAACAAGCCATCAGGAATCAACTCTCTGCCCTTTTCTACCCACCCCCAATCCTGGCAACCAAACCCAGGGAAAAGCTGAAGGGAAAGGGAAAGAGGTCAAGTGCCAGCACGTGCCCTGGCAGCGCCTGTGTTATGACGCAGGCTTTGCATTTTGCAGAAGTGACATCAGTGGGGCAAAATCAGTCAAGACTCAGCAAGTCTGGCTTCAGTCTATGCTTTCAAAGTCTGGCATGACCTACCAATACAAACACTTAGATATACAAAGACACATGCTCAAGGTGTAGACTCATTTACCGACGCGGAAAACCTGAAAAACTGAACTGTCAACAAAGAACTGATGGGAAAACTGGGCAGCAGTTTAGAAGAATTACATGTACTAATAAGGAAGAAAGTTCGTGATAGGTTACGAAAGGATGGCGTTGAAAATGGATCTCTTCTGCATACAAGAACAGGAAAGGCTCTGAAAGGATGTACCAGGATGATGAAAAGCAGCAGTGAAATGAGAACTCACTACTGTAAAATTACTTTTCACCAGTAAGCATATGTTGTTTTTGATATTTTAGAAGCTTAAACTCGGACAGACAGAATAGTTATTATCCCAGGATAATTTTATTCGAGTGAACTGAGACATCACCAAGGAAAGAATATTTCCAACTGTGGTTTCCCCTGCTGACTCCCTTTTCAAGCATTTCTCTAAGTAGGTGCTGCGTGCCAAGCACCTCTGGGAGCAGACAAAAAGCACCTACACAGCAGTCGGTGCATAGTTCCAGCTGCAGACACAAACTCTACAATCAGGCAAATTCACTTAAGAAGTTATCTTGTGCGGGAGGACGGTAATCTCTCTGTGCTCCTGTGTTCTAAGGCAAAAGAACAGACTTTGGAAACAAAAATAACATTCCGACAGAATAGCCAAGAGTTATACTTGGCTTATTACACAACGTGGGATAAAGTAGACCAATTAGAGGCTCTTGAGACTTCAAGGGGCACAGCTCAGCTAACCCTACGCAAAGACACACTAAGAGGAATAGGCTGAAGATCCCAACTGGTTAAATACCATGTGGGTGGCGGCCAATTACTCTTCAAAGCACCCTACCCATGTCCTAAAATGCCATCCGATCCTAGAATACACTGGCGAAATTAGTATAGGAATGACCAATCTCTACCAAGCGCGTACTGCAAAGACCACTTCTTTCTAAAGGAACTTAAAAGGAGGCCCTGGCTGGAAGTGGGGAGGCCCGACCTCACCAACCCGGGACAAAGAACTCGGGAAGCTCAGGTCCTCAGGGGGGCACCTGAGATGCCTGGAGAAGACAATGCAGCTCCCCCAAAAGTGGTGCCCAGGTGGTGGCGGGGTTTCCCATGACCCCCAGAGGCAGGGGAGCCCAGCTACCGCATTCAAACTGCAGAATAAGCGTTTTCCTCCTGGATCCCCTGCCTCCCCCAAGTGCTGTCAGGGGAAACCCGAGCCCTCCTGCAGCAGAGCGCCCAGGGAAGCGGAGGGGGAAGGAGGCAAACCCATTCCGGAGGGGGAAGGAGGCAAACCCATTCCCGAGAGGAGGGAGGGGGTTCTGAAGGGGGCCTGCACCGGGGGTGGAGACGAGGCCGGGAAGCCGGCGAGAAGGTGAGGGAGAGCTGGGGGGCAGCCTGAGGAAGGGGGCCCGAGAGAGCTGGGGGGCAGCCGGAGGGAGGGGGCCCGAGGGAGAGCTGGGGGGCACCCGGGGGAGGGGGCCCGAGAGAGAGTTCGGGGGCAGGCTGAGGGAGGGGACCCGAGAGCTGGGGGGGCAGCCGGGGGCAGCCTGAGGGAGGGGCCCGAGAGCTGGGGGGCAGCTGGAGGGAGGGGGCCCGAGAGCTGGGGGGCAGCCGGGGCAGCCTGAGGGAGGGGGCCCGAGAGCTGGGGGCAGCCGGGGGCAGCCTGAGGGAGGGGGCCCGAGAGCTGGGGGGCAGCCAGAGGGAGGGGGCCCGAGAGCTGGGGGGCAGGCGGGGGCAGCCTGAGTGGGGGGCCCGAGAGCTGGGGGGCAGCCTGAGGGAGGGGGCCCGAGAGCTGGGGGCAGCCTGAGGGAGGGGGCCCGAGAGCTGGGGGGCAGCCTGAGGGAGGGGCCCGAGAGCTGGGGGGGCAGCCAGAGGGAGGGGGCCCGAGAGCTGGGGGGCAGGCGGGGGCAGCCTGAGGGGGGGCCCGAGAGCTGGGGGGCAGCCTGAGGGAGGGGACCCGAGAGCTGGGGGCAGCCTGAGGGAGGGGGCCCGAGAGCTGGGGGGCAGCCAGAGGGAGGGGCCCGAGAGCTGGGGGGCAGCCGGGGGCAGCCTGAGGGGGGGGGCCCGAGAGCTGGGGGGCAGCCGGGGGCAGCCTGAGGGAGGGGCCCGAGAGCTGGGGGGCAGCCTGAGGGAGGGGCCCGAGAGCTGGGGGGCAGCCAGAGGGAGGGGGCCCGAGAGCTGGGGGCAGCCGGGGGCAGCCTGAGGGAGGGGGCCCGAGAGCTGGGGGGCAGCCAGAGGGAGGGGGCCCGAGAGCTGGGGGGCAGCCGGGGGCAGCCTGAGGGAGGGGCCCGAGAGCTGGGGGGCAGCCAGAGGGAGGGGGCCCGAGAGCTGGGGGGCAGCCGGGGGCAGCCTGAGGGAGGGGTCCCGAGAGCTGGGGGGCAGCCGGGGGCAGCCTGAGGGAGGGGCCCGAGAGCTGGGGGGCACCCGGGGGAGGGGCCCGAGGGAGAGCTCAGGGGCAGCCGGAGGGAGGGGGCCCGAGAGCTGGGGGGCAGCAGGGGGAGGGGGCCCGAGGGAGCCGGGGGCGGCGGGGGTGGCGGGGCCGAGCGGCCGGGAGCTGAGGCTGAGGCGGGCGCGGGGCGCCGGCGCGCGAGGGAAGCGAAGTTGGCGCGGGCGCGGGCGGCGCAGCCGGCCCCGGCTCCAGGCAGGCGGGACTTTCGAGCCCCGCGGAGAGCCCGGGCGGCGGGAGGCGCGCGCCGGCGAGGGCGAGACGCGGGTGCGGGGAGCGCGGCGGGCGCCGGCCCGGGACAGGGACGCGCCCCGGCCGGCGGCGGCTCCTCACTTACCGGGCGGGCGGCCGGGCGCGCGGCGAGGACGGGCGGCGGCGGCGGCGGCGGGGCGGTGCGACCCGGCTCGGCCCCGCCCCCGCCCCGCCCCGCGCGCCGGCCGGCGCTGCCCATTGGCCGCCGCGCGAAGGGTCCGCGTCCGCCTCGGCCAATCAGCGCCCAGCGGCGCGGTTTGGAAACTTTTTCCCAGGCCCGGGCGCGGCGGCCACGCGGCGGCTGTGGGCGGGAGGGCGGCCGGGCGGCTCCCTCGCTGGGGAGGACCCGTCAGGCTCCGGGCGGCTGCAGGCTGCTCCTCGGTCACCCAGGGGACGGGCTTTCCTTGACACCAATTGCATTTTTCCGTTGTTGAGCTTTTCCCATTGCTGAGGGGAGCAGCGGGCGAGTTAGGAGAGGTCTGCCGCGCCATGTGGGTAGCTCCCTGGCTGGCCAGGGCTCGAACTCGTGCTGCAGAGGCTGCGGATTGCTTCTGAGTGCTGTGTTTAACCTCTTGCGCCACCAGGGAGGCTCAGTGTTTTTCATCTTTAAAAGGAGGACATTAAAACTGCGGAAAGGTGAAAGATCTAGGCCTATCCAGGCTAAGTAATTCCCCGTGCCCTTTTACAGTCCACTTCCTCCAACAATAAAATCTTAACGGCATTATTTTCTTCTTCAAAGGCAGCATAATTTAGTGTACAGGAATTTGGGCCGGATCTGGCAGTAAATCCCAGCTATGTGATCGTGGGCAAGTTAATTCCATCCTCTGTGACATAGTTGCCTCATCTATAAATCGTGTTCACGATTGGATTCTACCTCATTGCATTGTGCAAAGGCAATGAGTATGTATTTTTTTGTTGGTGATGCATGTCAGGCACAGTGGTTACTTCTCGACATTTAATTGTCACAGCAATCCTAACTTTCCACCAACATGTTTACAGAGCGCTCCCGTTTATAACATCAGAAAAAGTAAAATTGTAAGGATGCTAGTAAGTGCTCTGAATAAAGCAAACTCATGTGATAGCAAGGGTCTGGGGACTGTCACCTCTACTAGAATGGTCAGGGAAAGATGCTCTATGGAGGTGACAGCCAAGCTGAGACTGGGATAATAATTCCAGGAAAGCATTTTTAATGACCTCCTTTTAAAGATGAAAAACACTGAGCCTCTCTGGTGGTTAAGCAGGGATTAAGCACAGCACTCTGTGGGGTTAAGCACAGCACTCTGAAGTTATCTGCACCCTCTGCAGCACGAGTTTGACCTGCCAGGGAGCTACCCACATGGCACAGCAGACCTCTCCTGTCTCGCCCACTGCTTCCCTCAGCAGTGTGTTTCAGTCAGTCTGCCTGTTCTGCTCCCCACTCTGTCTCTGGTGAATCCTCTCACCCCCATACACACACACCTCTGGCCTGTACCCCAGTTCTTGTATGCATAAATAAATAAATCTTTTTTTAAAAGATGAAAAACAAAGATGCAGTAAGTTAAATGCATTGCTCAAGGTGTCACAGTAAGTAACAAATGAATCTTCAAAACTAGGTCTGTTTGACTCCCACACTCCTTCAGCATTTTGCTAGCAGAAAAGAGATCTTAGCCCTCAGAGGCTTCCAAACCTCCAGAAATGTGCATAGCATTCCTTCTTTCTTGCTGAGGTGGTTTAGAACCACCTTTCTCAAATTCTACCTTGCTATGATTTCTTGCTAGTTCCTGAAGACACAAAGGGAACCATCACCTACATCAACAGAGTTAAGCAGAGTACCAACATGTCTTTCAGAAACTCCTACACAGCTCCCAAGGGATCATTTGCATCCTCCTGACACTTTTTCTAATATTTCCTGTCACTCCAGAATTTTATTTGACACTAACCACTCTGAGGTTTCTGGGCCAGGAATAATCACCCCAGTTTACAAACAAACTAGTGAGTTACCAGTTCTGGTTAAATGACATTGATCCAGTCATTGAGGCTAGTTGTTCTCTATTTCTTTTATTTTCCATAAGAAGGGAAGGCACTGAAATGATTATTATAAAAGTGCTCTTCTGGAAAAGGAGTTTCAGGGATGAGTTTGTCATGTGTAAAACCTTAAAAATAAAAGGGAAATTCTGATGTTCTTTGAAACTTTTTCCTCTTTTTTATTCAGTTTGTTTTCTTTGTAGCTTTTACCTAAAATGAGCTTAGTTTCTTTTGCTTTAGTCCTTCTATCATAATTAGCAGTTCAAAACACTAAACCTAACTTAGAAGTTGCTGGGGAGAAACTCATTTAGGGGCAGCTATGTTGGTTAATTCAGGAGCTGAACTGAATGTAATGTAGGAGCTCAAATAGCACAAAAATAAGTCTCCATCCTGGCTTCATAATTGTGAAGAGTATAATATGGACAAGGAAAAAACTGAAAGTTACTGATGCTCAAATAAACAGGAATAACAGTGGCTATACTTAAGAAACTATATTTTAAATGTTAGAGCACTTTTACAAATATTAAACTGTATTTTGATTCATAATTGCCTGCTTGCAGGGCTGGTGTAATCTGCTTCTGCTAGTTTTCTATAAAAAAAGCTATAAAATTTATTTATAAATACTTTAAAATTTGCAAATTTAAATATTTAAAAATTGTAATTCAGACTTGTCATTAAGTTTTCAACTACAATAATATGATTGATTTTTATTTATGCATTTAACTTGTTGAGACAGACACAGCTCTGGATTTGGAAGAATGTCAATTTCAAGCAAAACGTGGCTGCTTTTTATTAAATTTTGTGGCTAAAAAAATCTTTTAAGAAAGTAATAAAATCCAGAATTACTTTGTTTCCTTTTTTGTATTTTTAGTTAATATGGTGTGTTGAAAGATACTAGAAAAGAACAAAAGGGGAGAAAACCAACTGTGAGGAGAGGTATATTTGCTTGGTACTTTGGAGGAAAAAAAAGCCAACCCTAGACGCCAGAAAGATTTGTTTTTCGTCTGTTCTATTCCCACTTGGAAAATACTATCCACACAGACATAATGAAGATTTACTCAACAATAATAAATATCTAAGCAGGCAGATGATGTATGTACTTGTCATTTGCTTTCTGGAAAATGGAATGTAAACACAAAGGATTCTTCAGTTGCGTGTTTGATCTTGCCCTGCACAATAACTTGTCCACAAGGATGCCCACAGGGATGTATTAGCTTCCCCTGAATTTTCCTCCACTGAACGCGGATTGCCTAAGTAATTGCTTCACACTGCAGACTTCAGGCGCAAAAAAACTGTTCTGGCAACTTCGACTGTTTTTTCTGCAAAGTTACTGTTTCTTGACCAACTTCAGAAATAAACTTTCAGGTAGCATTCGGCTAGAGCACTGTAAAGCCATGTCTAGCTTTAGCTACGTGCTTTCTTTTTCTACTTTGCAGCCGGAAATAGTGAGCAGCTGGCAGTTTCAGGCATGACCATTGTGCCGAGTCTTAAATTTTTGTTTCTAACTCCAGGAAAAAGTGAAGATTGTGAGCCGCCTTTTAAAATGGCGCATTTAACCACCTAAAACACAAAATGCATTGGCTTCCCAGGGCTTTTGCAACGAACGATGCTTCCTTTCTGCTCGTCTAACTTGTCGCCGGAATAATTGTTTTTTTTTGGAAAGAGCTTTGGGTTGGCGCCTTTAAAAAATTACGTTTTCTTACAAGTCAAGAGGCCCTCTTAATTGAGGGTGACACTATCCAGCCTGGTCTTGGCACACATTTTAATGTTTGCCAGCTGGGGAGCAGCTTCGTGAGAAGCAACCCCCGGCGGGATCCCTCGGGAAGCACATTTGGCAGTTATTTTTTTTCTCCACTCGCCACTAGGTTGCACTAGATAAAGGATGCTGGGCGATTTGCGCGTCATTTAATTTAAAAAATAAATAAAAGCTCATCACGTGACAAGCGTGGTGTGTGTGGTTTGGGGGGGGAAGCAGCAGAGAGGAGACAGACACTGAGAGACAGCGGCAAAGACGATCGTGGTTTTCACTGAAATCTCCTTGAATAGCCCCAAAGGGCTGAAACTGTACCCCATTCTGTTGGCAGGTTCCCCCCCAGGTCCCACCCCACTGAGCGCCCTAACTCTCCGCTTTCAGGTTCCTTTCCACTTCACAGCGATAAGTCAGGGGGAAGGCTTCCTTAAAATGGGGGTTTTGGCCCAAAAAGCCGGGGTCGCCCCCCGGGAAGGTCCCTATTTAGGGGTTTATCGGGAGGGGACTGAGCCTGACGAGGCTGCAGGGCCGCGAGGCCCCGCCCCCCCCGGCTCCCAGCACGCCCCGCGCGGGGAGGACGCGGCGCCGGGGCGGGGCGGAGGAAGGGGCGGGGCGAGCGCAGAGAAGGGCGTCGGTTTTGCGACAGGGGCGGCGCGGTCCGGAAGCGGAAGTGGAGGGTGCGCTTGGCGGCGGCGGCGGGAGCTGCGGAGTCGGGAATCAAAACAAAGGGCCTGGGGGGGGCGGGGAAGGCGGTGGGTCCGGAATGTGAGCGGAGGTGGGGCCGGCGGCTGAGGTGAGTTTGCTGGCGGCGCTGGGGACTAGTTCCGGACGGACCCACGGCTCTGGGGCCACCGGCTGGAGGGGGACAGTGCCCCCCCACTTCCCCCGCCTATTCCTGGCGGGGAGCGGGGGGTTGGCTCGTCCAAGGAGTAGCACTGGGACCCCACAGTCTGACCCTACCGAAGGTTGGAGTTGTCTCCCTTTCTGGTCCCTTCGCGGCTGTCATTCCTGCGCCACTGTTGCCCTTTGGGGTTATTTGACTCCCCGCCCGCACCTGTCGTCCTGCTCCTTGTGGGGCCCTCCAGGTGTGGAGAGCAACCATCCCTGAGCAGTGTGCACGGTTGGAAGGTTAGGAGAGGAAGAAAGAGGCAGGTGTTTTTGCAAAGCCCTCTGAGCGTAACGCATCCTCCTGGCTCGTTCAGCAACCCCTACGGTGTAGTTTCTGACTTGACAAACAGTTGTCTTAGGTTTGAGCCACTCCCACTACTAATTGCAACGCCACACCTTGATACACCTTTTATAGAGTAGCCCAAGCACCTTTCTGGTACCAGCAAGAACTTGCCAGTTTCATGTGTGTCTCTGGAACTTACAACATCTCTGAGCGGAAATTGAAACCTAACGGGTCTTCCTAAACTTTTATCGAGCTGTTCATTTGCACAACAATTATTGATATGTGCTCGGGACAGGAGCTACAGGAATGAGTAAACATGATCCCTGCCGTCGTGGAGTTTCTGTTAAAGTAGGGGAGAGAGTGAAAAAGCAAGCCTGAGAATGTTAGATAGGAAAGCTTTGGGAAAAAAAACAGTGATGGAATGGGTTGGTGTGCGGGTGAGGAGTAGATTGAGTGTTAACAGGCCACTGCTACGTGCGATACTTCAATTGTCTTATTTAATCTGAGCAACAGCTCTAGGGAAGTGCTACTGTTACTATCAAACCCACTTGACAAAAAATGGGAGCTGAGGTTGAGGGAGGTTGAGCTGTCCACACCTGCAGGAGAGAGGGTGCAGCACAACTGACAGTCTCATGTCAGTCTGTGCCCTCCACCACTATCTGAATTGCTCAGAGACTCCCACTCAAATCAATTGGAACTTGCTTTGGCTACCTAAGTTATTTAGTGGCATTTCCAGCAATGTTTCAGAAAATTTCAGGGCGCGGCAGGCTAATGTGTTTTTGTTTTCTGTTGCACACACCGGGCAACACTAAAGGCACCTTGGCATGCTGGATAGAGGTGGACAAAGCTTGTCTGCCCCCTTTCTAATCATGTGATCTTGGGCAAGTCATAAAACTACTTCCTTGTCTCTCTCATGACTTTAGGAGAAAAGATTACATAAAAAGGTTTCTTTGCCTCCTCCTCCCCCCATAATTGTCTCTCTTGCACTGAGCACATGCCTAGTATATAATAGATACTAAGTAAATATCTCTTAAAAATGAGAAAAATGTTAAATGAAGGTGGTTTGTAAATTGTTATACCACACTTTAGCTCACTCTCAGGACTGACTTTTGAAGGCCTTTGAGAGAAAAATGTTGAAATTGTATTTTGAGTGTTACAAATTCACTTATTTTTGAAGGAAAAATAAGTGTTACAGTTCACTTTCATTGTGGCAGTTAACGCCATCTTGTTCTCCAGATTAACCACTCCTAACTGCATGTTGTAGGTAAATGGCTGCTTTATTCATTCCCTCATTTAACATTTACTTGGAATATATTTTAGCAGGCCCAGACACAAGGGATGCAGTGGTGAAAACAGACAGTAGCTTCCTTTAAATCTTTCCTCCCTCGGTAATGTTTTGAGGTAGACAGGGGACACAGTAGCTGCAGGAGGAAATAGAAACTCAGTGAAGTTTTGTAACTTGGACCTCAGGGCCAAACAGTAAATATTTTAGGCTCTTGTGAGCCACACTGTCTCTGTGGCAAATACTCAGCTTTGCAGTTGCAGTGCAAAACAGCCACGGGCACTATTTAAATGTGTGTGGCTGTGTCTCAGTAAACTATTTGTGGAAATTGGAACTTCATATAATTTTGTGTCACAAAATGTTATTTTGTTTTTTTCTAAGAATTGCAAAATGTAAAATATGATCTCAGTTCACAGGCCATTTAAATACAAGCTGTGGGCCAGTTTGGGCTGGCAGGCCATAGCTTGCCCACCCCTGGTTTGTGTGATCAGTTCTCTTATTCCTTGAATGTAATACTTGTAATACTTGCATAGTATTTCCCTGCCCTCCCCCTACAATATAGATGTTAAAATTTCTTGAAAAGAGCATCTCATCAGAGAGCTAGCTAAAAGAAACTCTTTTCCCTATGCTCTGATGAAAATTCTGAAAGATAAATTAATAACCTTAATTTGGCCTTTGTAGGTAAGAGTAGGTGGTGGTGTGGTGTCTGATGAGAGTTTGGAAATGAGGCTCCATTTTCTTCCTCTTGGCCAAGTGCCTCCATGCCCAGGGACCGTAATTGGTTGGATTTGCTTTAGTTCTCTTTTCCAACTTGTGAGAGTGTTGCTGCCCTTGAGTAGATAACAGTAGGGTCACTTCTGTGACTCAAGATTCCTTTGTCAGGTCTTTGGTGACTTAACTCCTAATAAGTAAACTGAGGTTCAATTTTTTTCTGTAGCAGAGTCAAGTTTAAAGTCCACAAAGATCACTTTATCTGGACCTGCCATACTCATATCAAAACACAGGAGGATAGGCTGCACTTGGATCAGTTTCACAATTTTCCCTCGTTGGTAAAGAGGGTGTTCTTTTACTAAGATGCCATGTTCTCGTCTGTTAACTTTTTGCTTCTCACAGGTAGTCTTTGGGGATGGTTGAGAAGAATTGAAACTACAGAAAAAGTCTTCTCAGGGGTCTGAGGAAGTTGGCCCCAGCCAAGTGAGGAGGCGAGGTTTTACTCAGAGTAACACAGATGTCCAAGACTCGGCACCGCTTTCAAATATGGGGCCTTGTAGAAAAGAAACAGGGCTCATTCAGGGTTCATTATTGATTTGAAGAGCTATGGAACATGAGGAATGGAACAGGTTTTTTAAAAATCAGGATGATGTGGTTAGTGTTCAAGAATAAAAAGAAAAAGAATCAACCAAGTTTACCAAATTTTTGTAACTTGTAATTTAATTTTTTTTTTTTTTACAAATTCAGTTTTTTTTTTTTAAGATTTTTTTTTTTTTAAATTTATACAATAGCTGGGGTACAGACCAGAGGTGCGGGAGGGTGAGAGGATTCACTAGAGACAGAGTGAGGAGCAGAACAGGCAGACAGACCAAAATACACTGCTGAGGGGAACAGCGGGTAAGACAGGAAAGGTCTGCCGCGCCATGTGGGTATCTCCCTGGCCGGCCGGGAATCGAATCCACTCTGCAGAGGCTGCAGATAGCTTCACAGCACAGCACTCAACCCGCTGCACCACCGGGAAGGCCCATAATCTATAATTTAATTTAATAGCCATTCTACTTTTGTTCCTTAAGATCAGCTGTGTTCAGACCCATTGCACCGTAAATGTACTGTCCCACATTTTAATGAATTGTAAAATTTTTATTTATGCAAATAAGTAATATTGCAATCTCATTCTTAACAGGGTGGAAGAATGAAAGAAAAGAAAGATGAAAGAATGTTGAACCACTTTGTATGGCTGTATGATGGAAGGAAACGAAACTGACAACTCCTGCAGTAGAACATTTGGATGGCTTCAACAAGATAATGATGCTAAGCCATGGCTTTGGAAATTCTCTAATTGCTTTTCTCGTCCTGAGCAGACGTTGCCACTTAGTCCCCAAACGGTAACTATGTACAAAACTAAGGACATAGCAAATTCCTTATGTAAATCAATGAGGGGTCCATTACTTGGGACAGTCTCTCTCCCTGGAGTCTGTACCAAGTTTCCCTCTGCTATTACTCCTGGTAACACATTATTGTGATTTGTGACCCAACAAGAACATAGTATTTTAACTCCTATACTTCTACTCTGAGTAACAGTAGGTGCTTTAAATATTTAATGTTAAAATTTGGGGACAATTTGTCTCACATTAAAGTCACAGATTCCAAAGAGAAAATGTATGTTGTAGTGTTCAGTCAGAGGGAAGTACGAAATACTATGTTACTGAGGCCTTCTGAGTTCTGAGTCTGATAATCCAGGAAAGAGTGATAGGACCTTTTCAACAGTCTTTTCCCTATTTAATATTTCTTTTCAATACTTAAATTCTACTGTGTCTTTTCATAGAGATTTTGGCAATTTCTCGTTTTTATTTCATGCATCTTCTTATATTTCTATTTCTGTTTTTGCTGTTGTGTTGGGATTTAAACGAGACATTTCTATGAATTATATAAAAGTATTATTTAACTTGTAAAAAATCAGTTAAATTCCCCATATCCTCTAGGTTTTTACTCTGTAGTTGCCTTGGTTGCTTGGCTTCAGTGATTTGGATCATTTCAGAAGTGTTTTACGTTAAGAACAGTTGACAGCGAGGCACGGCAGCTCAAGCAGGGCTTCGTAGGATGGCAGATCTGTTCCTCATGGAGTCCCACAGTACAGAATTGCACTATGGACTTTATAGATCCAGAAGCTGGGTTTTGTCAGTGACACCCAGAATTGAGTACAGTCAGAGTACAACTCAGAAAAAGCTTGCCCATAAGGACCAGATCTATATAAATCACAATGCCAGTGAATTAACTTCCAGCCTGAACTGTATTTACCAAGAAGGCAGAACACTTCTTGTGGGCTGGTCACCCCACTGCTATTCCCTCCCCTTTAGGAAAAGTCTCACTGAAAATCCAGATTTCTCCCAGGTGGGTGCAGAATCACAGCACAAGATGTGAGATCACAGCAGTCAGATGGACCCTTCTGTGCCATGAGGAGTGAGCGTGTCTCAGTCCTGAGATCAGGGCATCCTCTTCAGTTTACCAATACCTGCAGGTCAGCCCCGGAGGGCTACTGATTAGTGAGATGCCCTCTCGGTGGCCAGGTATTCTGCTAAGTGCTTTGTGCGCACCATCCCATTTAGGAGATAGGTTCTGTTGTTTCCCAGTTGAAGGATGAAGAATTAAGTGTAGAGAAGTACTTACCCCAGGTCACAGCACCACTGAATAGCTTAATCAGACCCAGCTTCTGTCACCAAAGCAATATTAGAACCTTTATAAATATCCTGGCCTCATGTGTCTTGCAGGCATCTAGCAGACACACTATTTCTCTTACATCTTTTCCCCAGATAGCTTTCTAATTATTCTAAATCTTTTCCCCGGAGACAGAATGATTGTTGGTGTGGTGGCATTAGCTCATGCTATGTTAGGGGTTGCCGAATGTCATCAGCAACAGGTTTACAGATCTTTCGTGGATGACCCACTTGGGCAGGTGACTGATCTCATCCATAAAATTTGAAATGTTCTTTTTCTCTGGAAGACCTCACATAAATCCCTCGCGGTCTGACTTCAGGAATGATTTGCTCAAAGCACTTTGCTCGTAAACCATCTTTCTGGAATGCTGTTTATTAGGTCGTTTTTCATACCATTCATTTTACCTTCAGAAGAGGCAAAGAGAAGTCACTGAGATATACATGGTTTGCCTAAGCCCTCCTTGCTGATGATGTAAACAGACTCCCTCCCCTAGTCTCTTAAAATTCAGGAAGAACACAGTCCTCATTTTAGTTGTCAGTTTTGATGCTCATGTTCTGCAGACCTCTGAAGAATGCCCCGGTTTTTGCTGCCATTCCATTTTGCTTGGCTCTGATGGAGTGATGTAAACAGCATTGAATACTATTTCCATTTTTGAATGCGATAGGATGTGAATACCCAAACATCACAGACCTCCTAAAATGAACTTGTGTTCTGGTTTTCTTTTCTCAGAAAGATTACATGGAGAACAAGAAAGTTGCCGTGGAATTAAAAGATGTACCATCTCCCCTTCATGCTGGCTCTAAACTCTTTCCAGCAGTCCCTCTTCCAGATATTCATTCTCTTCAGCAACCTAAAATACAGCTTTCAGCTGTCCCCAAAGTAAGCTGCTGTGCCCATTGCACTAATGAACCCTCCACTTCACCAATGCATTTTGGTGGTGGCGGTGGTGGGAGTGGAGGCACTGGTGGCTTGATTCACACGGGCGCACTGTTAGATTCGCAAAGCACCAGGACAATCACATGTCAGGTAGGGTCAGGGTTTGCTTTCCAGTCTGCGTCTTCACTCCAGAAGGCCTCAGCTAGGAACAGTTTAGCCAGCATCGCAAGTGACTTTCCTAGCATGTGTCTAGAAAGTAATCTGTCTTCCTGCAAGCACCTGCCCTGCTGTGGAAAGCTCCATTTCCAGTCGTGTCACAGTAACGTGCACAAGCTGCATCAGTTTCCGGCTCTCCAGGGCTGCACCTCCGCTGGCTATTTCCCCTGTTCTGATTTCACAAGTGGGGCTCCCGGGCATTTGGAAGAGCACCTTTCACAGTCGGAGCTGACGCCTCACTTGTGCACCAACTCTTTGCACCTAAATGTGGTCCCTCCGGTTTGTCTGAAGGGCTCACTTTACTGCGAAGACTGTCTGAACAAGGTTTGTATCTTTTTGTTTGTTATGTTGGTGCAGCCGAGGATTGAGAAATGACCTTTTGAAAGTGGGTATCTGTCTTGAAAATCTTCACTGTGCATGGGGCTGAAGCTCTTCCATGTGTAGTTTTCACCCCATCAACATAACTTCTGCCACAGTGAAAGAAGCATAAGATAGCACAGGAGGGACCATCCAAAAATGTGCAGAGTAATTATCCAGGTAGTCGACACTTGCAGAGCTTTCTTGTGACGTGTTTCCCACACATCAATCAAGTTTGTGTGGTCTGTTGTGTCTTTAAAAGCTAAAGCACAGTCGTGATTTCTTATAAGCAACATTCAGCTTATATACAGACCCACTCGAGTAGCATAGGTCACTGCATGTTGTCCTTCTGTAATCATCTGGGGAACCTGCAATTTGACCTCAGTCACACCAGGTTCTGGTGAAGCCTTGAGCCCCCTTTATGTAAAGTGTGAACGAGATCTCCATCCCAGCAGACGCAGGCCTCAGAATGGAAAGATCTCATCCTGTGAATCTCCCCTGATTATTTCAAGTTTCTTCTTGAAGTGAGTTTAGGCATGAATAGCTAAGAGTTCTGGGAAAGATGATTTGAAAACACAGCTAATCAGAGGTTAGCAGGTGAAAAGGAAAAACACTTAGAATGTGTTTTCAGTTGTTGTATATCCCTCTAGGTTCTGAAATGATTTATCTGAAACCTCCTCCTTTCTTTAAAAAAATTTTAAAACAGCCGGCAAGAAATAGTATAATTGATGCTGCTAAAGTCTGGCCAAATATTCCACCTCCAAATACTCAAACCGCACCTGTTACTATTCCTCTGTGTAATGGCTGTGGAACCAAAGGAACAGGGAAGGAGACCACGTTGTTATTGGCGACCAGTCTAGGCAAAGCCGCTTCGAAATTTGGTAAATGACAGTATGGTATAAAATGTGCATATTTAAATAGTGTTCAATATCTGGTACTAACACTGCATTTAATCACGTTGAAAAGATTCCTTGTGATTCTAAAGCTGCCATGTATGTGAGTCTCCATTTCTATATCTTGGTTTAAAAATCTTTTTATAGACCAGTAAGTCAGTCGCCCTCTGTGTTGGACTGAGGCTATTTGAGATTGAAAAACTGGGTGTTTGTTAGGAGACTAAGTGCTGAAGGGACTTTTTGGTGTCGGCTTAGGTTCATGACCACACTTGCTGATTGCATACTCTAGAAGTACTTAGTATTTAAACAGATGTAGTAATGGCACTGCTAGTTAAAAACAGTATTTGAAAACCTAAGTGGTTTGAAAGCCCAACAGTGCTTCATGTGATAGTTTATTTATTGAAAACATTTTTTGTCATTATAACAGATGTTAATGCAGTGTTAAAAAGTCCTTTAAAATCAAGGGCAGTGTAACCACTTCACCTCTTGGTGCCTCCATTGTTCTTCCATACGGAATAAGCAGACCCGTGTGGGTGGAGTATTAAATCAAGTCCCAGAGCTGCAGCGTCTGGGTCAGTGTTCAAGAAGCATAACTGCTCGCTCTGAGAATGGCCCCCGCTTTGTGAGGGACCTGTTGTGGGCTTAGAGTAACTTGACCTTCAGAACTGTTCTCCCATGAAGAACAGGAGTAATCACTGAGCACAGTGGCCACTCAGGGTTGTCTTGTTAGGTCAGTCACTGAGGTTGGTGTCCGTAAACTTCAATCAGTTTCACTTTTCTGCCACTAGGAATGCTAGGTAGCTCTCCCTGTTTTGTTTTAACTTGCCTTTTCCGTTTCACTGTGTAACTGAAAGTGTTCACTATTTCTTAAGGGTCACCAGAAGTCACACTAACCGGACAGGTGCTAGAAAACTTACCGCCCATTGGAGTTTTTTGGGATATTGAAAACTGCTCCGTTCCCTCTGGCCGCTCAGCTACTGCTGTTGTGCAGAGAATCCGTGAGAAGTTTTTTAAAGGCCACAGAGAAGCAGAATTCATCTGTGTCTGTGACATCAGTAAAGAAAACAAAGAAGTTATTCAAGAGCTGAATAATTGCCAGGTAAAAACATACTTAATTCAATATGGCAGAATAAGCACGTGTGATTTTTTTTTAAAAAAATGAATTTCATTGCAGTTTGTTGAATAATAAGCATTTATACTAAATTGCAGATAAATTAGCAAAAAGTTATTTTTAAAGCACTTGAAGTCATGTAATCATGTGTGATCTTTCAATAATGCCACTTACATTTAGTATTAGGCAGGCATAATGGTTACATATATGTATTTTTCCTTTAGTTTTTCCTAACCTCTCAATGAATAAGCTCTTTGGGTTCATTGGAAATGTACAAGTGAGACTGAACAAGATTCAGCATCTTTTTTCAGATCACACAGCCAGTAGGTGGAAAAGCTGGGATTTAAATCCAGGTTGTCTGACCCCAATCTGTGCTCTTCAACTGGATATAGAATCTAGTTCTTTTGACTCATCCTGTTGATACACCATATTGCAGGCAAAAATTATAAATTTATCTCCTTATAAAAACTAATAAATCCTATTGCGTGTGGCATGCCATTGAGGCACCTCTCACGCCACAACTTTTGTTACTCTGGAGGTGAAGTGTGAACATGACTGTTTGAACAAGAATAAACACATATTAGCCCCCTTCCATGCAGGTGCCTCACCCTCCCCCACCGCCTACCCGGAGTCTGAAAGCCAGGGTCAGTGTGTGGCATAGAGAGGTGATAGCAAATACCCTCAGTCTTACTGCAATCTCTGCCACCTCCAAATTGCTGGCAGAAGCTACTGGAGAGAATTCCACTACTTCACATTTCACTAACTTCTTTTTCTCTACCTGTTTTCTGAAAGGGGACTAGATAAAGTGCAACAGCAGATTAGTGATGAGAGCAGGGGGAAATATGGATCCAGCTCACTCATACAGAGACCCGATTTTGAAACTGAGATCTGGTTGTGATTTTTTTTCATCCCTAAATGGCAATAAAATACGAGTTTCTTTCTGCAAGGAGTGTCTGTTCAGATGGGCGTAGGCTGTGTAGTGGTTCCTAAGCTCAGCTGCTGCTCATTGTTGCCAATGCACGCAGGTCACCGTCGCCCACATCAACGCTACCGCGAAGAATGCTGCTGACGACAAGCTCCGCCAGAGTCTGCGGAGGTTTGCGAATACGCACACTGCCCCAGCCACCGTGGTCCTCGTGTCGAGTAAGTGTAGACACACTGGCTGGTCCCAGCTTAACTCACAATGGGAATTACAGAGGCCAAAAACATGTTAAAGTAAAATGTGTCTCCAGAGAGGCTGAAATGCATGGGACGGATCTATGCTTATTTTTGAGAGCTGCTTGGGAAAAGAAAAAATGGAATCTTCTTGGAACTTGAGCAAGTTTTCTTGTGGGGCCAGATCTGTTTTTTTCTTAATTTTTTTTTTTAAAGGAAGCTCTTTTTTTTTTTTAAAAAAAGATTTATTTATTTATTTATACAAGCACTGGGTACAGTCAGAAGTCGGGAGGGTGAGAGAATTCACCAGAGCCAGAGCAGAGAGCAGAACAGGCAGACAGACGAAGTACACTGCGGAGGGGAGCAGTGGGCGGCAGGAGAGGTCTGCACACCACGTGGGACCCTCACCCGGCAACCGGGGATCGAACCGGCGCTGCAGAGGCTGTGGGCAGCTTCGCAACCCAGCGCTCAACCACTGCGCCACCAGGGAGGCCCCTTTTTCTTAATTTTTTAATTTCTACTCCTATCCTCCCCCCAGTCTAGTATCACTAATTAAAAAATTCCAAGATGAATAATTCCTAGGGTTCAGCCTTGCCCAAATACTGTATTTGCTCCCTCTACTAACAGAAGCAGTGTAACAGGATAGTGCCCGGGAAAGGGGGAAGTTCCAGGTTCCCTGCCCCACCCAAAGGAGGGTGGAGCAAAAGAGAAGAGACGAAGCTAGAGAGGAGACTGAGAAAGAAGGAAGCAAAATCAAGATAAAAGCTGCCATTGTTACCCTCCCCAAGGGTCTCTCATCCGCATCTGCTTCAGGACCAAAAGGCCAGCGGAGTGTCTTCGCATGTCTCTCTGCTGCACGTGATCCTGAAACTGTTTCTTTTCCCAGGCACCACCCTGTTACAATCCCCTCAAGCCCCGCAAACCTGCCTGCTCTAAATAGGTTCTGCCATCCGCTGCATCAACACAAAACATGTAAGACTTTAATGGGCAGGAACTTTAATACAATTAGGAAACAATGCAGGAAATGCGAAGAATATAGTTTCTAAATCAAGCACACACAGTTACCCATCCCATGGGATTGGCCTAGAGCAAGGCCCCAAAGCCTGCCACAAGTCTAAAGCACCTTTCAGTGGGGACCCACAGAAAAGGATCAGAAACAACCAGACAAGTCTGGAAGGAAAGGAGCAAAACAAGATAAGAGCTGCCTTTGTCACCTCCCCACAGGTCTCACCCACATCTGTGTCAGGACCGAAAGGCAAGCGCAGTTTCTTCATGTGTCTCTGCTGCACGTGCCTCCTCCAGGTCTCCTTCTGATTCTCCATCCTGCTTCCTTCCTTCTCAGTCTTCTCTGCGGCTTCTCTTTTCTTTCTTTCTTTTTTTTTTAAAAGATTTATTTTATTTATATAAGAACCGGGATACAGGCCAGAGGCACAGGAGGGTGAGAGGATTCACCAGAGACAGCGGGGAACAAAACAGGCAGACTGACTGAAATCCACTGCTGAGGGGAGCAGGGGGCGAAACAGGAGAGGTCTGCTCTCCATGTGGGTTGCTCCAAGGCCGGCGGGGATCAAACCAGCACTGCAGAGGCTTCGGATAGCTTCACAGTGCTGCGCTCAACTGCCTGCGCACCAGGAGAGGCCCACCAGCTTCTCTTTTCTTTTGCTCCACCCTCCTTTTGGTGGGGCAGGGAACCCGGAATTCCCCCTTTTCCTGGGCACCGCCCTGTTACATTAGCGTGTGTCTTGAGGTTCTAAAAAGGGAGAGGGGGGAGCAAATTTAATCACAGTCCGGCCATTCTTCTCAGTGGATGTCAGAAGAGGGGTCTGTCTGTCCAGTGTTTCTAATGCTTGGGGTGGGGGTGGGCTACACCTTTTCTTTCAGCTGATGTCAATTTTGCATTGGAACTTAGTGACCTGAGACACAGGCATGGTTTCCACATCATTTTGGTCCATAAAAACCAGGCCTCAGAAGCACTGCTGCATCATGCTAACGAGCTGATCAGATTTGAAGAGTTCATTTCTGACTTGCCCCCCAGGTTACCACTCAAGATGCCGGTAAGTAGGTTTGTGTTTTTCTTGCCATTATTCCTGTGTTAGATTATGGAGACTGAAGATAACCCTGGGTGAAGTTGTTCTTTACAGGAGGCCAGATATTGAAATAAAGCTTAGAAACCTTCTCTGACAAATATATAGGGAATTGATATGTATGAATCTTGCTTTTCGTTTTTTCAAAATGTCATAGGGAATTTTAGATTTACCTTTCAAACAGCCACTTGCCAGTGTCCAGCCAGCAGTGTTTTGTGCCAAGTGGGTGGAAGTAATTGAGTAAGTAAGTAATTGAGTAAGAATTTCTGCTCTTTTAGCTTCTAGGTATTAGAGGTCAAGAATATGGTGACAGTTTGCACGTACTGGCATGGTTGGAGTGAAATGAACAGAGTAACTAACTGTATGCTTTCTAGGCACAAAGTGCCTGGGCTCTACCAGGCCTCTGGCTGTCATTTCTGTAGTTGTGTTCCCTCATATGTGTGGAGAGTGATAGCTACGCCTGTAGTCTATTAAGCCATAGGATTGGAGAATGAGCAGGATGAGCATTTCTGATAGTCTTAATGTGGGATAAGAGTGCATATTGCAATGCTGAGCTGTGTTTCAGCTGTTTGGAGTATATGTGTAACTCGTAAAGAAACAGCAGTAATGGGGAGGAACTGTTGTGTGTGCAGTCCCTACATGAAATGCAATCTTGACATAACTTAGTAGCTGTGGTGTGACAGAAGCACCTTAGAAACCCTTTTGTCCAATGAGATCCTTTTAGGGAGGGAGAAGTCAGTGCCTGGGAAAGAAAACAAGTCCTGTGACCACACTGCTCCTGGCAGTAGAGCAGAGGCTGGCCCCTGGGTCTCGCCATTTGAGACCTTGCGCTGCTGGTCCCACTGCATGCCCTGATATCCAGCAAGCCTAGAGTCTGGCCCGACATTAAACACATGATCCACAGTTGGGGATACCAGAGTCTGGCTGGAGGGGCCAATAGTCAGGCCCTGCTTTAGGCTTCTGAACTCTTCTAACTCACTTTTCTTGTTCATTATGATTTTAGTCTTTTGGCTGCAACTACATTTCCTTCCTCCTGCTTCTTGCGGCACTCACTTTTCTAACCTGGGAGACTAAGTTAAATGTGGTGTTTTAGGTGCAAGGTTGTCCATTTGGGAGATCCTTGTTCCTCATGGTTTGAAAAAAAAAAAAAAGACCTGAAATAGGACACTAAATCTTGCCAGATAAGTTTCTTTCACTAGAGTGATAATTGAAGATACATCTTAAATTAATGAATGCTTTTAAAATAGCTTTCAATACCTTGCCTGCACTAAATTAGTTTACTCTCTCTGTTCTAAATCACTGTTACTTCCCTTCCCAGGTCATTAGCTTAAATTGCGATATGACTCATTGTTCTTCCTATTTTGTGATAGAAGGCGTGCCCTTGAGTTAACCTGTGGTAACACTCTTCCCCTGTGCCAGCAGTGCCACACTCTGCTCTATGTCTATAACCTACCAACAAATAAAGATGGCAAGAGCATCAGCAATAGGCTCAGACGCCTGTCCGACAATTGTGGAGGGAAAGTGCTGAGTATCACAGGCTGCAGCGCAATTCTCCGCTTCATAAACCAAGATAGTGCAGAACGGGCTCAGAAGCGAATGGAAAACGAAGATGTCTTTGGTAATAGGATCATTGTGTCATTTACTCCAAAAAGTAGAGAACTCTGTGAAACAAAGAGTTCAAATGCAATCGCTGATAAAGTGAAGTCTCCCAAAAAACTTAAGAATCCAAAATTGTGCCTCATCAAAGATGCAAGTGAACAATCTTCCAGTGCCAAAGCCATGCCTGGCAAAGGGGCGCAGGCACATTCTGGATCTGCTGCAAAAAATGCAAATGTTAAAAGTTTACAGGTAATTTTGATACCTCTTGCTCTCTGAAGTTTATGGTAGGTTTGGTTTCTGAGTTTCCTGTGCCTGCTTGCTTTTGACCCGTCCTTTTTAAATTTTGGCTTGGAATGATACTCATTCGAGTGTTTTCTGTATGTGGTCGGACACATCCGGGTGTTTCAATGATCATTTCCACTCCATTTGTCTCTTTTCAAGGAGCTGTGCCGCCTGGAGCCAAAGACTGGCACTAGAAGCTGTGAGCCCCCGCAAGGTCCCCTGAGGCTGGGAGCCCCTGCTCACAGAAACCCAAGTGCTGCGGCACCCATACCTAAAACCTCGGGGATGGCGGAGTCCGTTTACAAAAGTACCCTGAAGTAGGTTAAGTTGCTCTTTCTCAGAGTTGCTGGTCTCATGTGAAGGAAAACCAAGTGACCTTTACCCTTCAATTTCCCCCTCCATTAGAAAAGAGAACCTCAGTGCCCGGAGTGTTACTAGTTCTCCTGTAGAGAAGAAGGATAAAGAGGAGCCGATGTTCCAAGTGAGTTACCCGTCTGCTTTTAGCAAACTGATCGCCTCCAGGCAAGTTGGTCCTCTGCTTACGTCTCAGTCTTGGACTTCTCGGTGAGTCTAGCTTCTTGATCCATTGCGTGGTGGCCGGGTGGGGATGGTGGGAGTTCCCCTGCAGTAGAAAGGATGACAAGATAATGTGTGAAAGAATGAAAGCAATAAGCAGCACATAAAGGATTAGCGAAGCCTTTCCCCGTGGCCCCCAGTCCTCTCTCCACCCTTTGGGGACCCTACTTCTCATCACTGCCCCCCCTCCACCTGGGAACCTTGGGAGCAGAGGTCAGAGAGAGACCTAGTCTGGTGTCCCTGGTCCATGATCACATTCAGATGCCCTTACCATTTATTTCCTTACCGTGATGTGGGAAAAATCCATACCAGACACGCATTGTTTACTCTTACTCATAGTGTAATTATAGGAGGCCATTTGGGAAGTAAAGGTCTCTGTAGAGCACTATCATTATCCACGTCACACTTTCCTAAGCTTCTGAACTTACCAGGTAGTTCTGGAGGTTTGGAAGACGAGGGGCCGTGAGGCCACGTGGCATCCCAAGGGCCCCTCCCAGTGTGGTGTTTGTCCTGCGGGGTTGATGGAGACTCACTGTAGAAAGTGACTTTGGGCCTGCAAAATTACATCCAAAAAGTCGCATAAAGTTTTCTTTGTATGGAGAAGGACTGCACCAGAGGAGCAAGACTGTCTGGCTTTTTGAGAGCTGGGGAGGTTAAACACCTTACATCGCTGTCACAGCTAATTTCCTAAGAGTCAGTGGTCAAAGTAGAAAAGTGGAAAAGTAGTTCTTCCTGTCTGCCTTTAACTTTAAACATGCCAATGAGAGACTATTTGATATTAAAGTAACTTGACTGCCAAGGGGTCAACATAGTACTTTTGACAATAAGTTTAAATCAGTATATGTTTAAAATATAAACACATTTGAAAACCGAATTGTACCGTGGTAAGCTATTTCTCTGTGTAGCTTCGTACAAAGTCTAAATGATATAAACTAAATGAGTAGAATAAGCTTTTTAAAACTGCCAATCTGTGTGTTTTAAGCAGGAGTATGTCTCCAAACCTTTTAAACAGAGCCTCGCCACTTGCTTTCAACATTGTGCATTCGAGCAGCGGAGCCGACTGCCCAGACCCCTTTGCAAATGGCGCTGACATCCAGATCAGCAACATAGACTACCGGCTGTCGCGGAAGGAGCTGCAGCAGCTCATGCAGGAGGCCTTTTCCAGGCACGGCAAGGTAACCTCTTTTCTCTTGCTCTTGCCTTTGTTTTCACCTTTGCTGGCATTTCAAGTGGAGATGAGTCAGTTAACCCAGAACCGTCGCCAGGTATAGGGGTTACTGCGGAGCTGGAGCCCCTCTCTCTCCTTGGTTTGCTTGGGGTGGTGCTGTGCATGCAGTTTTCAGGGCACAGCCCCAGAGAGCAAGAAACCCCACAGGGCAAGACTTGAGGTTCTGGGCAGGAATTTAAATGGCACTCTGGGAGAGAAACACTGGTCTCATGGTTTTACTTAGCTCTGGCTGGTAAGACAGAAAAAGGATTCTTAAACAACCTTGGCTTGGTTAAGATCTTACTGCATCTGACTCCACTTTCGGATGCTGCGTGCTAAAAATGCCTTTTCCCAACTGGTAAAATAGCTCTGCCCCAGGTTTTTGCAGGGTCTGGAGAAGACCCTGAAGATTCCCCGTGTATGTGTACCCGTGAGCCTGCCACAGGGAGCTGTGTGGGCCAGAACACACACCAGGCCAAGCCAGTGATGAGTCTCTGAGGTCCTCTGGCTCACTTAGGTTCTGGTCCTCAGAAGGACAGAGTAGACTGGCTCCTCACGGCAGCTCTGAAGTCACAGGTGTGCTCCGTGATAATTAGCCATCAGTCTTAGGATGATGGAGCTTGAGTCAACACAGCACGCCATCTTCCTTTCACTACTGCAGGTGAGGAGCGTCGAGCTCAGCCCCCACACGGATTACCAGCTCAAGGCTATTGTTCAGATGGAGAACTTGCAAGAAGCAATCAGCGCCGTGAATAGCCTCCACAGATACAAAATTGGCAGCAAGAAGATCCTGGTCTCCCTTGCCACGGGAGCCGCTAATAAATCACTCTCTTTACTGAGGTAAAAATCAAACACAACACTTACTTCAGAAAGTAACGTTTTGGCCCAGAAACAATTTTGGAAGTAATAAAAATAGACTTCATCACATTCACGACCTTCTTCTGAGAATTATATAAGCAATAATGTTATTCTCCATGGTTAGAGTTAGAAATCAGCTAGTTGAAATGATTTGACGCTTGTTCCAATGATTAATCAAAGGTGAAGTGCAGCTTAAACTTGGCAAGCTCTGAGGAGGAAAATTGTGCACCACACATCCAGTAGAGGTTTTAAAAATAGTGGACTCTGCAGTGAAAGTTTGTGAACCTGAAAAGCCTGAAATGTATTCTTCTAATCTCAGCAGAAGGGCAATTTGTCTAGGAAGGTAGCGCCAAGTTTCAACGAGCAGACATGCCCTCGTGTCCAGTAGACAACAGCCCCCTCAGTTTACATTCCAACTATTAGTCTTAGGAATCTGGAAGTAGTGGTCTTCATAGTAAGCTTTGCTGCTCCTTTGGCTCTACCTGATTTGGGGGGAGCCCCAGTAAAACAGGACTCACTCCTGTATACTTGGATGCACAAAGCTCTCTTCTCTGACATGTACTTCACTGTTATTTTTAATTGTGTTTTTATGATAAATTAAGATAAAAATAGGGCCTCCTCTGGTGGCGCAGCGGTTGAGTGCTGGGCTGCGAAGCTGCCCGCAGCCTCTGCAGTGCCGGTTCGATCCCCAGCCGCTGGTGAGGGTCCCACATGGCACGCAGACCTCTCCTGCTGTGCCTGCTGTTCCCCTCAGCAGTGTATTTCGTCGGTCTGCCTGTTCTGCTCCCTGCTCTGGCTCTGGTGAATTCTCTCACCCTCCCGCTCTTCTGACTGTAAATAAATAAATAAATCTTTAAAAAAAAAGTTTAATTAAAAAAAAAAAGATAAAAATAATCCTCACTGAAGAAAATTAGGAATTTCAAGAACGTAAAAGAAGCAGGAGAAAAAAATGATCCATGACTCAAAGCCAGTCATTCTGAAGAGTCTGACTTTTTCTCTGCTGAGTGTGGTTTTGGGGGTGCCTTTTTGTTTTTTTTGAAAACCATAGTTGAGATGATACTGTTTTCAGTTGTGTATCCTCAACTGTGGGAATTCCTCTCCCTTACCTCTAGCACTTGACCTGCAGGAGACCTGAGCTATTCTGCTCTTCGCTCTGAATAGAGCAACATTTGTCTTACTGAGTAGTTGGTGTCATGTGGATCCAGATGTGATAGCCCTGTGCTTGAGTCTCATAGGAATCCCAGTGTTTGACTTACATGCTTTTGTTGCCTTGCCCCTAGTAATCTGACCTATCAGAAACTGGTCAGTGTGTTTTGCTTACACACAGTGCTGGCAATTTTATGGACTCTAATTTTTTCTCTTTTAAGATTTATTTATTTATGTATATAAGAACTGGGGTACAGGCCAGAGGTGTGGGGGGTTAAAGGATTCACCAGAGACAGAGTGGGGAACAAAACAGGCAGACTGACTGAAATATACTGCTGAGGGGAGTGGCGGGCAAGACAGGAGAGGTCTGCAGTGCCATGTGGGTAGCTCCCTGGCTGGGGATCGAACTCTTGCTACCGCGGGTGCAGATAGCTTCATAGTGCTGAGATTTAACCCCTTGTGCCCCTGGACTCTATAGTTTTCAAAATATAACTCAGGTAGGGGAAGTGGTCATCTGTGCTTTAATGGGCCAAAATTCTGTCTTACAGCGCAGAAGCAATGTCTGTTCTTCAGGATGCTCCTGCCTGCTGCCTGCCTCTGTTTAAATTTACAGATATCTATGAGAAAAAGTAAGTCAGGTTTACTTCTGCGTTGGTTCAGTTAATATTGATTGGTGATGTCCATGCATAAAAACACAGGAGTGACTCTTGCAGCCTGGTGAAGGGAATGAGATACTGATGTTTAGATTTAAATTTCTATTTTCACCTACGTTTTAAAAACTTTTCATTTTTTAGCCAGTTTTGATCTCAGTCCCCAAATCTGTCCTTTTATTTCTTTCCCCACTTGGCCGATTAATTTTGTTATTCATTTGGTGGACATTTTTGAGCCCTGTCTAGGTGTAAACTCCAGGATGACAGGCTTAGAGCTGACCTGATGCCATAGCTTCAGTAGCCAGCACAGAGTAGGCGCTCAGCAGGACCTGGTATAATGAAAGACTGAGGTTCTGTGGAGGATGCAGAGCTGGGAGACGCAGCCTCTTCCTTGAGGAACTTATGTCTGGAAGAGAAGATGCTCACAGACCATGATAGAGAAAAGTAGACAGTCATGAAAAAGGAGGAGTAGGAAGGAGTGAAGGCTTTGAGGATACCGAGGGTGGGAAGAACAACAGGAACTTGACCTTGATTCTGTGGATGCAGGAGCCGTGGGAGTGTTGGGGACTGAGGGCCCAGGAGAGGTGTGCTGCTGGAAACCTGGCTTCAGGAAAGACTCTTGGGTGGCAAGAGTGTCTGTGATGGAATCACGGAGTGGGAGGAGCCGGTGGGGAGAAGGCTGCACCAGTTCCGGTTCCAAGCAGGTGCTGTTGGAATGAAGAGATCTAGTACCTCGTCCATTTGGGATGTCAGTGTAACTGGCCTGAGAGACTAGTTTGATGTAGCAAGCGTGGTAAAAAGTAGAGGTCGGTGTGATTGAGCTTTTTGTCCTGGATGACTGGGAGGTTCTTTGGTTAAAGAAGAAATAGAGAAATGGTGATAAGTTGAGGAGGAGGTCCAGTGAGTTTTTGACCTTGGTTTGGGACAAGAGTTTTTAGGGGAAGGGGGTCATCGGTGTCTGGGTGGGGAAGTGTGCACGTTTAGAGGAAAGATGTCTCTCAAGATACGGCAGGTGTTTGCCTATTGGCGATCCTGAACGGCATGGGGAGTGGATGAGAACCAGAGGAGAGGGCAGAGTTGGATGGATGCCGCCACCAGGGGCAGGATGTGGGTGAGAACCAGAGGCGAGGGCATTCCCAGGACGTGTGCAGAGAGAGCACATCAGGAATCTGGGATAGCCTGCAGCATCAGGGGGACTGAGGCAGTCGCATGAGGTTTGTGGGGAAAGAGGAGGCCGCTGGTGTTGGGAGAGCCAGCTCATCAGTCCTGCAGATAAAATCCTGGAGGGAAGGGCTGACAGATGGCTGGGGAGACAGTAGGCCCCTCTGGAGAGTCCAGCTGTTTTCATTCTAGGGAAGAAGAGAGAATTCCAGACTGGAATGGGACAGCGTAAGAGGGTGGAGGTGGAGGTGGACGAGTGGTATGGGCAGAGGGAAAATCGGAGCACATATGTAGGGTTCTGGGAAGAAACTATCAGAGCAGCGGACATAGCATGCTCCTCACGCATAACCACCTTAATCCATACATAACCCTGTGAGCTGATAAAATCACCCCATTTTATAGATAGGAACACTGAGGTCAGATTAGTTTGTAATTTGACTGGGGTCACACAGATTGAGTCAGGATGTGAACTCAGATGTGTCTGCCTTCCTAGCATGTGCCTTTAAGCCCCAGGTTAGGAAAGGTTCAGATCAGGGGAGTGGTTTAGGGTCTCAGAGGAAGCACAGGCAACAGGGTTGAAGAGTAGTGAGGTAAGAGGGTAGCTGGAATGGGGTACTTCTCTTCTGAAGAACAATTTGCAGGTGAAGGGGAGGCACGCTGAAAGGGCTGATGTCCCATGGGAATTAGGTAAAGTCACTTACAGAAGCTGCTCAGGGTAGAGATTAGGTTCTGGAAGACAGAATCCTAGTGACCTGTGAGTCCAGGATGACTGGTTCAGGACTGAATGACTTTAAAGAATTATTCCAGTTTTTCTAAGAATAGAGCAACTGTCCTTGGTTATAGTCCTTCATTTGAAACAGGACAGGTGTTTCTGTATAATCAAAGTGTTCTCTAAAAGTCAGAATCTCTTTTCCCCTTGCTTTTAGGTTCGGACACAAGTTGAATGTGTCAGATTTGTACAAATTAACAGACACAGTTGCCGTCCGTGAACAAGGAAACGGAAGACTGGTGTGTCTCTTGCCCAGCAGCCAGGCCCGGCAGAGCCCCCTGGGGTCTTCCCAGTCGCATGAGGGCTCTTCGACAAATTGCAGCCCAATTATATTTGAAGAGTTAGAGTACCACGAGCCCATCTGCAGACAGCACTGCTCCAATAAGGACTTCAGGTAATCCATACGCTCCCCTCAAGAAATAATCCTTCGGTATAAGGTCTCTCAGTGCCTGTCCAAATTACCAAACGAACATTTTAGACTCTGGAGAAATGTCAGTAACTTCTGTTCTCTTTCCTGCAGTGAACATGAATTTGATCCAGACTCTTACAAGATCCCATTTGTGATTCTCTCTTTGAAGACATTCGCACCCCAGGTCCATAGCCTGCTGCAGACGCATGAGGGCACAGTGCCTTTACTGAGGTGAGCATCGTGACATGCTGGCTGTGTTCTGTCTAGAAGGTCTGCCCCCTGCCTGCACCCCTGCTCCCCCAGCCAGTATTGCAGAACCATCGTCCTAACCATGTTAGCCTGCCCGTCAAAGTAGGTCCACTCACTGCTAGCTCAAAAGAAAGTGTGTGTTTGTGCTCAGTTTTAGAAATAAACACTGATGGTTTATTCTTCCCAGAGGTCAGGTTGTTGCAAGTGCTGTAACGAGTATGCACACAGGATAGGAGAGCACACACCCTCATTTAGCTGTAGGTTGCAACATTCAAGAGAGAGGAGTAGTCTCCAAAATCCATTTCACTTCCCAGCAGCCACAGGTAGACTTAGCACAGGGCCAACATGGACTGAGTTGTCTGAAGGCCATCAGTCTGTCACAGCAGATGAATAACTGGCTTGGAACCCAGTTGCCTCATCTTTAACCCTGTCTACTGCTAAGTTCTCCAGGAATTCCTGGTAGCATCAGAAGACACACAGGGTGATGCCACAGTGATTGCCCTGGGACCTTTGTTTTAATGTTCAAGCCCAGATGTTGGGCGTTTAAACAAATGCTTTCTTAATGGGTACATTTAAGTACAGGCTTCTGTTTAGCAGGTGTTTTGCTTGTCCTTATCGTCATTAACCTTCCCCCACTGCAGCTTTCCAGATTGCTATGCCGCAGAATTCAGCCAGCTGGAAGTGATGCAGGAAAACCGAGGGGGTGTGCCCTTAGAGCACGTCATCACCTGCATCCCCGGGGTAAACATCGCCTCCGCACAGAACGGCATCAAAGTAGTGAAATGGATTCACAACAAGCCCCCACCTCCAAACACAGGTAGGTGTCAGCTGTTTGGTCCTCCTAAGCCACCATCTGCTGTGAGGAGGCTGGCGGCTTTTATCTTAAACAGCAACACTACTTGCCAAGTGTGAAGCGCCACAGATGGCATCACCTTTGACCTTTTAAAAACTGCTATCTCAAGTCCTGAAGCTTTGGCTGAACTAGACCTTTTCAGAGTACCAGTGACAATTATGCGAAAAATATAAAACCCCAGTTTCCACAGTTATAAGTCTCTTTAGCTACCTGTTGTGGAACTTACTGGCTTGTCATGTAATTGACCTTTTAAAAATTGTCTCAAGTGTTTAGAGACCGTTTGTCTTAATGCAGATTTACCTTTGAAATTCATTTTGGTCAGTGTTTCTGACTGTGATAAAAGTGAAACTAAATTTCACTTGAAATGACAAGGACCCAGACAGTTGGCGCGTGACGGGGGTGGATGTCTGAGTTTTGGGCAAGTGTCTAGCCTGCTGCCGGTGGACAGGGAGCTGAGGACAGTTCTTTGGCCCCAACACTTTCTCCTGTGCTCCCCCTCCAACAGGAAGAAAGTTTAAGGATAACAGGGAATCTGCTGAGAAGGAAGGCTCCTGGAGGAGAAATTCTTGCCTCAGGCTTCTCCCCGCCTCCTCCAGCGTTTGCCCGGGCACCGTCCCTCCTGTCTGTCCTGGGTCACAGCCCACTAGTCCCTTCAAAGGTGTCCTTCTGATTCTGCACACTTTCCTAATGAAAACTTTCTCATACTCACATGAGCATTTAAGATAAATGCAAAAGCCTGTTTCTTAGTTTCATGTCATGCTAGCTGTACATGAGCAGTGTCCTGGGCAGTGTTTTTACACCTCTCTGGATTAATGAGGCTCGTCTGCCTGATGATCCCATGACTTGTATTTCTGTGGGAGAGTGTGTCCCGCAGACCAAGTTACAAATGGATCTTTGAGATGGAACCAGTTTATAGGTGGAAACTTCCTATGTATTGTTACTTCTGCTCTGAGCTAACATTGTGGAGAACTGTGCTTTGCCTTGGCTGCTTGACTTTGGGAAGCGTGGGAGAGCATTTGCCAGCTTGTAGAAGTTGGGCTAGCTCTCAGAGTATGGCGCTGAGAGGCAAAGCTGCAGTTTGCTCTGGTCTGCTAGGCCACAGTGAACTCAAGTGAGGAGTCCAAGATCAGTTGCCTTTCTTTCAGCTGGTGACGTCATGCTTTATGTCTCATGCATGTCCTGTTTTGCTCCCCACACGTCTAGACCCTTGGCTTCTGCGTTCTAAAAGTCCTGTAGGTAACCCCCAACTGATCCAGTTCAGCAGAGAAGTGATCGACTTGCTGAAAAGTCAGCCCTCCTGCATCATGCCAATCAGTAATTTCATCCCTTCCTATCACCACCACTTTGCCAAGCAGTGCCGGGTGTCGGACTATGGCTATACCAAGCTGATTGAGTTACTGGAAGCAGTGCCTCATGTGTTGCAGGTAAGCAGTGCGCAGGGATTATTGGTCTAGAGACAAAAATGTTCCTCTGTGGCTTTGGCTATTCCATCCCAAGGAACAGGATAGCTGGTGCCCTAATTCCTAAATAGTCAGTTTCGAGCAAAGTATCCTCCTTAAGCCTTCAGAGTGCAGAAAGCAAGGTGGCTGCTCAGTTGTTCAGAACACTATGAGTACCTGGCTTAACGGAGCTCCTTAGAGCACTGAGGAGTATCTTCCTTCTGAGCCCTACAGACTGGCCTCCTCGCTAGCACAGCCCTGCCTACAACTGTCTGCTGTTATGAAGGCGCTGTGGCAACGTGGGTCACCTTTTCTATAAATGTGTTGAATACCAGTTACTGAGGTGGAGAAGTCTCCCCCTGTTAACTTACAGGGTTAATAGCTTCCCATTTGTAAAATGCTCTGAAAACTTTAGAGACAAAATCGGTCTCCCTGAGTGATAACATGCTTTCACGCGTGACTCTTTGGGAAAGGGAGTGCAGGCCCAGACACCTGGAGCAGTTTCTGTGTAGACTGTCTACATTTTGTTGGTCTGTATGTGTTTCAGAACGCAGATATCACACGTAAGGGGAGCTGTGATCTGAGGGCAGTGAGAGGAGAGAGGAGGCGCCGCCAGCAAGGACGTCAGTATCAGCCAAGGCCTCCCGAGTGTAAATAATCAGAGTGTTTGCTTTGCAGATCCTTGGAATGGGCTCCAAACGTTTGTTGACCCTCACCCACAGGGCTCAGGTGAAGCGCTTTACTCAGGATTTACTAAAACTTCTGAAATCCCAAGCCAGCAAGCAGGTCATCATGAGAGAATTCTCTCAGGCATATCATTGGTGAGTTGGTGAGAAGGGGGAAAAGAAATGAAAGCAAATACTTGGGAATGCTTTTTTTACTTTGCCCCAATTTTAATAATTATCTAAGTTTGCTCTTGAGCTTTTTTTTTTTTTCTGTTTGGAAAAGCGATGTTTCTTGTTCTTGACCCATTCCCATGGTTAAAATCCAGGTGTTTCTCAAAGGACTGGGATGTCACCGAATATGGCGTCTGTGAGCTGATCGATATCGTATCAGAGATCCCAGACACGACCATCTGCTTGTCACAACAGGATAGCGAAATGGTCATCTGTATCCCCAAAAGAGGTATGTTGAGGTACACTTACTGGAGGACAACTGTCTAGCCCAGTGGTTAACTTGAAGCCATGCAAGGGAGGCACTTTCTTCTTCTCCATGGTTTCTGGAGATTCCACAGAAAACTACTGTCCCCCACACAAGGATCCTAGGTTCTTGAGAGGAGGTGAAGCCTCCTCAGAATTCTCTCTACAGGGAAAAAAGGTGTGGCCTTTTTGTTAAAATGCCTCCTCCAGCCTGGCTGTTCATGCTGTAATTATCCACCTGGAAGTCACTTATCAAGGCTGCTGCTTGTCTCTTCTTTTTAACTGAGCTACTTGACTGTGTACACTTGAGAAGGAAAGAAACCTGAAATGAATGTTTTCTCTTTCACATCTTAGTAGTTCCAGGGGCTCTCAGGGAGACAGAATAAATAGAATTAAATCTACACTGCCCTGGGCTCCTGCTGTTCCTGATTAGTGGTTCTTAGACTCTACTCTGGACACAGAACACTGGTGTCTATGAAATCCTAGTATTCCAAAGCTAAAATAAGTAATACTAGTGTTTTACCTATTATAATTTCAAAGTTTAGACAAAAAATCTACACTTAAGCTTTTCCTTCTCTGTATTTTTGTTAAACTTTTGATGCCTGGTAGTTTTTCCTACTTGTAATTTCAACTGAAGTTCAGATGGATAAACAAAAAGCAGGTGACTATTCAGGAGTATGATTTTGGAAAGTAATTTCTGGATTACTTTTTCAGGCGCAGTGCACGTTTTTCAAGTGCGCTGCATGTCTGTATGTCTGACTTGGAAGCAAGGGACCACAGTGATTATTTTCAGCTAGTGAAATGCACGCGTGTGCATTTCAGGGTCTAGTGTACGCATGTAGGGAATTCCCAGTGTCTGCCTTGGAGCAAGGTCACGAACCAGCCACAAAGGAGAACACGTGTGTTTGGAAGGCACTTCTTGTGAGCTGTGCGCAAGAATGTTGACACCCGTGGGTAGGAAAAGATTGTGATTTATTTTGTGTCTCTAAAGAACGTACTCAGGACGAAATAGAAAGGACGAAGCAGTTCTCCAAGGATGTTGTTGATTTGCTGAGGCACCAACCCCACTTCCGCATGCCCTTTCACAAGTTCATCCCCTCCTACCATCACCACTTCGGCCGGCAGTGCAAACTCGCGTACTATGGGTTTACCAAACTACTTGAACTTTTTGAAGCCATACCTGAAATTTTACAAGTAAGTTAAGAAATTCTAGTTCCATTTTTCTTAACAGTATGTGGGGGAAATTCTTTTATTTTCAGGCCTATTTTCCTGAGAAGTAGATGATCACGTAATAGGACAAAAATTTGACAGTCTCTGGTCAGGGAAGCTATGTTATTGGCCTACTAATATTTTTAGAAAACGATGCCTTTTTTCCTTTCATTAAAAAAATCATTCTTCCACCTTGTTTTTAGGCCAATTATTGAAAAAGAATTTAATAGCTTGATTTCTTAAACTGAATAGTTTCATTAGCGTTCTGCTGTTCAAACGTATGATCAGCTCCACAGTTTTTGAGTCTCTTGAGGTTGGAGGTGGGGTGAGCACAAGAGCTGGGGCAGATGGTTGCTGTCAAGCTGTTGCTCAGTTACACCAGTTTTCTCTGGTTAATTTTACTAATATTACTCTATTGACCTCTACCTGCTTAACTATTTTTAAGGGTGCGGTTCAGTAATACTAAAAATATTTGCATTATTGTGTATCCAAACTTCTAGAATTTTTTAATCTGGTAAAATTGACTTTAGTCAATTAAAGAACACGGAAATACATACTTCTGAGCTATTCACATTTTTATATCATTTAATTCCATGAACAGTAATAACTTGTTCAATCTCTCTTTTCTCTCCTTGTGTGTTTTCCAAGGTATTGGAATGTGGAGAAGAAAAAATCCTTACTCTGACGGAGGTAGAACGATTCAAAGCTCTAGCTGCCCAGTTTGTTAAACTCCTTCGGTCCCAAAAAGATAACAGCCTTATGATGACAGACCTACTCACAGAATATGCTAAAACTTTTGGCTACACGTTTCGTCTCCAAGACTATGATGTCAGTTCAGTTTCGGCTTTAACGCAGAAACTCTGCCATGTGGTAAAGGTAAAGAGATCTTTTTTCCTGGACTAGTAAAACTTGCAGGGGCACAGGCCCCCTCGGGTTGTTTACACGGGTGCTGCCATTTCTGTATTTACACCTTGTCCTGCCTCACAGCTGGCCTGTATATCACAAATATCCTGCTAGATAAAAGCAGAGGAGGAGGGCTGGCAGTTTAGATTTCTGGTCTTTCTGGCCCAGCTGAAATAGTGTCTTTTTGAACTTCAACGTCATTGTTCAACTCTTTGAAACAAAGAGTTTACTTTTAAAGTAGGGTGTTTATTCTCAGGTGCGTCCATTGCAAGACTGCTGACTTGAAGCTGGATCCTTCTAGACAGATCTTTGACTCTCAAGTTTTGGGGAAACTTTAATCATAGATCTCTTTTTCCTTCCAAACTCTGACTCATGTCTATTTAGGACTGAGCTGGTCTCAGAACTGCCTTTAGTGCTGGTAACACTGGTTTGAAGACAGTAACTCCTTCTCCCTTCCCACCCTGGGCGGAGCGGCCTCTCGTACGCCTCCTACACAGAGCAGCTGGGCAGTTTCTAGGTTGCCAATACCACAGGGCCAAGAAAACTCACCAGAAGGAGGAAGAAATGGAAAGTGGAACAGAGAAAGTGGTGGCTGCCTGGCCACAGGTCTGGATGGGGTGTTTGTGTGCTGGTTGGTTAGAGGAGGAACAACCTTGACCAGAGGCAGGGACAGAGCTGCCAGGGAGGAAGGAGAGCACTGGGAGCAGAGAACATCCAAGGCCAAGGGGGAAAGACGGCCAGCAGCATTGTGCCACTGAGGGCACGGGAACCAGGGAGTGTTGTGCCCTTTGGACTTGGCTGACTGAGGTGCTTGGTATTGCTGGCCAGAGCACGGCCAGTGGAAATACGAGGACGGAAGCCTCGCTGGAGTGGGCTGAGGAGTGCAGAGAAGGCGTCAAGAAAATGGCAGCAGGGAGTCTTGCGGTTTCCTTATGAAGGAGGAGAGCAGGAGGGCAGCCACTGGAGACTGCGGGCCTGAGGGCACAGGGGAGGTTTGGATGGTGGTTCTTTGGGCATGTTTGGGAGTTACTGACAAGCAGCTATGGGAGGGAGAGGACAGATGCACAAAGGCAAGAAGGGACAAGGGGGCCAGGGTGCTGAGGGGGCAGGAGCCCCAAGAGGGGATGGTACCCAGGAAGTTTCTGGATGGGGGCCAGCAAGACGGGCTGAGCAATTTCTACCCAATTCCCACCTGTCATGTAGATATGGTGTCCCCAAGAAGTTAAAAACAGACACACTCACTTCAGTTTAAGAAAAAGAATTAGAGCTTTTCTCTGTTTGTCTCATTAGCCCAAAATGAAACTAGCTAAGCTGTTTGTCTCCTGCATTCGGAAAGTGTGAATACTTGTTTTTTTCAGGTTGCTGATTTGGAATCTGGCAAACAGATTCAGCTGATCAACCGGAAGTCTCTGCGCTCCCTCACTGCCCAGTTGCTGGTGTTGCTGATGTCTTGGGAAGGAACCACCTGTCTTCCTGTTGACGAACTCAAGAGACATTATGAGACGACCCACAGTACTCCTCTCAACCCTTGTGAATATGGATTCATGACCTTGACTGAACTTCTGAAGAGTCTCCCCTACTTAGTTGAGGTATGAGTGCTGACGTTCTAAAGAAGCTTGGCAATGAAAACCGTTTCGTTGGGTATTTCTGGATTACTTAGCGGTCTAATGAGAGGGTGTCGAGCTGCAAGGGGCCAATCGGTCATTTTATAGATGCACAGGCCAAGACTCAGGGTGGTGCAGGCACCTGCCCAGATGCACAACGAGCCAGTGCAAAGCTCTGGCCTCCTGTTTCATGGACATGGTCTTCTCTTCTGCACCAGATTGGATTTTGTGGCCAGTACCGCTTTCTGAACTAGATGGCTTATGTGGTGACTTCGCGTGACTTGTCAGATAAAGGTCAGAAAGGGAGGTCACTGGCTGGTTGCCTTGGGAGACTTCCAAAAATGACCCTTCAAGGCTAGAAGAATCACAAGACAAAACTAGAAATAGAAACGGTCCTAAGGAAAACTATCAGAATTGATTCAAGAAGTTATAAGTTATTAGATGAGTTACCACAAAAAAGACATTAAAAGTCACTGGAATTTTACCAGTGAAGAGAGCACCAGGACCTGATGGGTAGACAACTGGGTTTAACTAACTTTTAAAAAACAGATAACACCAGCTTCTTAAAAAGCATTCTAGACCACTTAAAAAGAAGAAAACACAGAGCTCATCACTTCATTTTATGAAGCCATAATAACATTAATATTACAAGTCCTCCCAGAAGAAAATGACTCTCAGTAGAATCTGTATGAATGAATAAAATCTAGCAGTGTACAAGAGTGATATGTCATTGAGTCAATACAAGACAGTGACAAGAACTCTCTCCTTGACCAAACTTTAGCTTGAGTCTTCTTCCAGACTTAGGGTGTCAGTTAGCAGTGGGTGTCCCCCTTGGCTACAAAGCCCTGCTTTTCTCTTGTTGTATCCAGGATATCTCCTAGCCCTATACTGAGGTTACTGCTTTAGCCCTGTTGTAGTAGTTCCTGGAAAAGAAAATGTCTGGCTCTGGTTTTCTTCTGAACATCAAAGTCAACATTTTCTAAACTCTGGTATATTACACGAGCACTAGTTCTAGGCAGTGGTAGTGGTTCCAGGACAAAAGACTTCCCTGCCAGTGAAGGCTGGAATTACCTCTGCTCCGAGAGATGCTTAATGCATATTAAAGACCCTGAGAGGGCTTGGTGAAGGAGTTTGCTTAGCTTACTAGAGGACAAAAGTTCTTTCCCCACTTATTGGCCATGTCTTCTTGCATCTGGGGGTTGCGTTCCCTGTTCGGTGCCTCCTTTGTTGGTGACACCAGACTCCAACTACTTCCCCCTTTTTTGTGACACACTATTGCTTTTGACCTCTACCCTCTTAGATTTGCAAGTAAAACTAAAACTTGCCCAAGACTACATAGCCTTCTAGAGGAGGTGCTTGAAGGAATCTATCCTTCTCCTTGGCTTATTACCCACTTTCAGGTTGATTTTCAAGTTCATGCTCAGCTGAAGGCCTTCACTTCCGGTGGGCAGGAAGGGTCACTCTGGCAGTTTCTGATGCCATGTTTTCTCTTGGATCAGGTGTTTACTAATGATAAGACAGAGGAGTGTGTGAAGCTCACAAGTCTTTATGTATTTGCCAAGAATGTGCGGTCTTTACTCCACACTTACCACTACCAGCAACTTTTCCTTCATGAATTTTCCATGGCCTATACGAAGTATGTTGGAGAAGCCCTGCAACCTAAGACATACGGCTTCAGTAGTGTGGAGGAGCTCTTAGGAGCAATCCCACAGGTAGGTGTCTTTCTGAGCTTCTTGGAGAGTGTCTTCCTGGAGAGGCATGGCTTACATGCAACAGTCTCCAAGTGCTGCCGGGAAGGCAACATGGAGTCATTGTGAGCATGCTGCTGGCATAAAATCAAAGCCTTGGCATCTCTCATCCTACAAACCTTTATGAGGTCCCTCTGTGCCAGGTGAGGAGGTCCAGACCCTGCCTCAGCAAGGTGCCTGCAGTGGAGAGCGAGGACCCCCAGCAGGTGCCCACTCAGTGTGGTCAGTGCAGTGTCAGTGGTGCCCGAGGAAGGCCAGGGCCCCAGGGTTTTGGTGGGGTCAGGATGTATGCACATTAACTGAGGAGAGGACAGCCTGGGCAGATGCAGGGGGTAAGGAGCAGTGGAGCGCAGGGGCCCTAAAGCCTCGCTGAGGCCCAGCAGAGATGTGCTCCTCTGGGGGGGGGGGGGCTTTGCACCTCCATTTTTGCCTGTGAGAAGCCCCGCAGTGACTGCTGTCCACAGTAGAGTGGGAGGAAGTGGGGGCGTGGGGTTGCTGGTGGGGACCCCGGCCATGGGAGCGGCCTGGGTGAGCTCTGAGGGCTTGAGCACGCTGGAGCAGAACAGGAAGCAGTGGAGGACGTGTGTGTGGGAAAAAGGCTCCGGAGCTGCTGGCCGGGACTGGGTGACAGATGCAGGCTGTCACCCGGGAGCCAGCGGCCACTGCCACCTCTCCTCCTTGGCTGAGGAGGCGGAGAGCGGCATGTTAAGTGGAGGACATGGTTTTAGGATTGGGGTAACAGATGTGGTTTGAGGGGGTGGGAGCTCTATTCCTTTAGGGGGAGTTGAGTTTCTGGGGAAATGGCAAGGACTCTCACGTGGGAGCTATTTTCATGTATGCACCAGCACTGGTGCTGGGAGATGGTGTTTTTAAGAACCTCAAAGAATATTTTTAAACCTGAGTCTCAGCATCTTTAGACTATGGAGATTTTTATAAAGGAGCCTATTCCTGCCAGCTGGTTCTCCTTGAAAAGCTAAAGAAAGTAGGCAGAAGCGTTTTCCTTGGCGTTCATGCAGTTTCTAAATTCCAGCGTGTGTAAGGCAGGCACGGCAAGTCAGGTCCTTCCCGCATTTTAGGGCTTATTTCCCCCCTTTTCCACTGCTTAACCAGTAGTATGTCTTGTGTGCAGGTGGTCTGGATAAAAGGACATGGTCATAAGAGAATTGTAGTGTTAAAAAATGACATGAAAAGTAAGTAAGCACCCCGCCCCGCCCCGCTGCAGACACCCTGCTTCTCTCTCTGACGCCTCCCTCTGACGGCTGCTCTGTGTCCTCCAGGTCGGTTGAGTTCGCTCGGTCTTTCCCCTGCCAATCATGAAAACAGGCCCTCTGCCGCCCAGCATCTCCTGGAGGTGCCCGAAGCCCACCCAGCCTCAGAACTCAAACTTGGAGTGGAATGCAATGGTAAGCGGGCCCCCCGGGTGGGGGGCTGGGCGGCGGGAGAACCCGTGAGTCTTTGTCTAGACATCAAGGGTGGGGGGGCAAAGAGCAGGGCCTAGGGATGTTCACTAAATGGCCTTCTCCCCAAGATTCTTGGACTCTCAGACTGGACTCGCCAAAGACAGGACAGACTTGGAGGACCGGGGGCAGACCTTTGTTTTTTAAAAAAACGTGTGGGGTATTTCTCGACTATTTTCACTGTTAAGGCTTGGCAGGGCAGCCTCAGGCACAGACCACGGCAGACTGCCGCCCTGAGCAGCCGTGCCTGCCCCCCGTCCAGGGCCCCTTCCAGCGGAGCAGGAGCTCCTCCACCTGAACAACGACTCCCCTGTCGACCTCCTGTGCGCACCCGTCCCCTCGTGCCTGCCGTCCCCGCAGCTGAGGCCAGACCCTGTCATCCTCCAGTCTGCTGATCTCATCCAGTTTGAGGAACACCCTCAAGGGCCTTCAGGTAGGATGCACTGGTGGTGTGGGGGTGTCACTCTGGGGTTAAGAGGGAAACCGCGATGCCAGTATATGAAATGCTTGATGGCAGTGGGGAGAAGCTGTACCTTTTTGGGTACAAAATTATCTGTGCTGATTACTCAGGGTCCTCTGGTCCTATCAGAGTTCCTGCAGAGTTGGGTTCACAGCCTGAGGCAATCTGGGGACAGTCAAGCAGGGGAAGATGGTGGGTCGTGAGGGGTGATATGACTGGGTTGTGGAGAATCCACGCAGGAGTGTGCAGGGAGCCCCGGGCCCGAGCTCCCACATCTTTGTAAGGTGGCACACCTGCCACCAAACACTGGTCGCCTTTGGTCTGGCCCAGAGTTGAATGACTTAAAAGTTCTGGGGCTTCATGAAGGTATGAGCAGGAGGAGCTGGGCATCTGTCTCGAGCCCCTGGACTCTGGGAAGTGACCTGAGCAGACTCCGGGGGAGCAGACTGCGGGGCACCGACTCTGCGGGCTCTGCGTGGCTCTCCCTGGGCGCCCGACGTGGTGCTCAAAGTTGACAGACTCAGTCACATTCAGTTCTCACCAGGGTTCTGCAGGCCGGGTGACTAGAGATGAAGCCCAGCCCGGGGCTGCTTGACTCAGAAGTGGTGGAGCCAGAATTTGAACGCAGGCCTCTTGTCTTTCTGCCGTCAGCCTCTGAGAGGATGGCCCACGGCCCGCCTGCCCTCGTCCTCGCCATCTGTTGTGGTCGGCCTGCCCCACGCAGCTGGCACGGCTGTCCAGCGGGGCACCAGGGACTCTGCCTCCCTGTCTGCTCCAGCAGCGTTTGGCACTGCTGCCCCTGAGAGAGCCACACTGTTTATCTGGAAAGTAGGAAATGGGGCGACAAATACGTGACACTGCTACTAGCTGCGATGAAAGCAGGGTGGCGGGGGGGTGTTACCCCAGATGTGGAGCTGGAGTTGGCGGGAGACTGATACCAACTCTCCTGCTGTCAGCTTTGTGGACGTGAGGTCAGCCTCATGCGTGTGGCCTGAAAGATGAATTGGGAAGGCGTGGGCAGTTGCTGCCATTCTCCTCGGCCAGCATCAGTCTGAGGAGAGAGCTGGGGCTCTGCGCCCCTCTGTCACCCTCACCTTCTCTGCACCTTGGGAGCAAGAGCCCCTCACAGACACAGTGGGTGTTGTGACCCTCCTCCTTCCAGCAGCACAGCCCTGCACACAGCAGCCGCTGACCGAGGCCCAGCCGGAGGAGCAGCAGCCTGTAGACACAGCAGGAAGCCGGGCTGTGTGGGACTCCAGGGGTGTCCAGGATAATTTTAGCTCCGGAGTCCTCCCTGCTGTCTCCCCCTGGCCCCAGGGGCTCCCAGCCACGCAGGCCCCCCTGAGCTGAACGTCTTCCAGTCACATATGGCTCCTGGGCCCTTAACTACCTGACAGAATGAATGTGGGAAAGAGCATCCAAAGGGGGAAATATTTTTTTTTTAAGTCACTGCCCATAGAGTGACGCCAGAAGGGAGATCTCCAAAGCTCAGTAAGGCTGGGGCTTAGGAGACACACACTCTTGGCCACGCAGCGGATGTGCACAGGTGTGACGCTTAGGGCGCTACCGATTTCCATCCGCGTTTTCAGAAAACCTATCGTTGAGGTAACGTTGGTGTACAACACTGTATGTAATTTAGGGGTACAGGTCCACACCTCTTGAGTGGTGTGTGCCCACCACCAAAGCCTCAATAGTTCTTGACCACAGTCCACCGCCCCCACCCCGTGCAGTGGGATTCCAGGGGTGTGTCTGGGCTTGCTTTTGTCTGTGCCTTGCTGCTTTATACCCACCTATGGGTGAAATCACCCACTGTTTGTCTTTCTCCTTCTGGCTTATTTTCCTTTGCGTCCAGTTCCACCCATGTTGTGTAAAATGGCATCTTTTTAACAGCTGAAGGGGGTAAGGTTATTCTTTTTTTTAAGAAAATATGAAAGAACCAGTACTTCTCACAGGTCATAGAAATGAACCTGTTGCTTTTCTGTGCTTACAGAAATTATGATCTTGAACCAAGGAGAGAACATTGGAATCCCAGCGCCGATAAAGAAAGAGCACCTGCCCTCTGATTCCAGCTCACCTTCCGGCCCAGCAGCCGCCCCAGAGCTGCCCTGCCCCGCCTCAGAACCCGCAGAGTCCCTGCTCAGCAAGGACCCTGTGGAAAGCCCAGCCAAAAAGCAACCCAAAAATAGAGTAAAATTGGCAGCCAACTTTTCCTTTGCACCTGTAACCAAGCTTTGACTCTCGTTTGAAAGTAGAGTTAGGATGGGAAAACACTGTCTGATTCTGCACACAAAAGTGGGCTCAAAAAACACAGCCTTTAATGGAAACCCCCAGAAGCCACTTCACCCTTGGGTGTCTTCCATATTTTGTTTCTTTTACATTAAACACAGCTTTGAGCTGTAATTTTTCTCCCTTTCCTCCTCACCCTCCACAACTACTCAAAAACAACTACTTCTGGCATTTGTTTTAAAGAATCCTTAATATATTTTACCAAATTTTTCTTCATTATTATGAAATATAATGGTGTTTCCTGCAAAGGAAGCTGGTAAGAACTCGGCTAGAAGGAAGCGGTGTGATGGCCATGAGGCCACGTCCCTGGCATCATCCTCTGTAGCGTACCATAGTCGCGAAGCCTGCGCTCACCGATGTTCCAGGCAGTATTAATCAATGCATGACCTGTCTTTGAAGCAAAGCCTGTTCAGTGACCCAGAAGGAGGAGGGGGCAAGGGGGTGGGGAAGTCTTCTCTGGTTGGATAGGAAGGCTCCTGGCTTCATGTGACTTGTAAGTGTGCCTTGTTTTCTATTTAACTATGTCTGTAGTTGACAAATGTGGCTTCATCACAGATGTTTTAAAATGTTTCCACTTTGGGGTTCCATTGAGGAGCTTTCTAGAAAGTCCAGGATGTTTTAAGCTTCCCTTTCATGTGACGTTCCAGCTTGATAGGTGTTGGGTTAAGGAAAAGAAGGTGGTCTTGGTGTCGTGAAGTTACAGTCAGCATTCGAATTCCCACACACATCATGGTGTGTCGAGAGGCAATGTTGGGAAGAGAGTCTGATTGTCTAAAATATGCATCAAATGCATAAATTACAAATCAGAACTGAGGGGTGAGGTGCTTGAACAGGAGCGAGCGGTGTTGATACTCCTTCCACTAGGAAGAGACAGAACTTCAGTCTATACATGTGAAGGCCAAGGTTGAACAGCTTAACCTTGATTTTGTAATTGTAAAGTTGGCTTCGGGAGCTGGGAAGCTTCATGTGTGAGGATGTGTGTGTGCGCGCGTGTTAACTCAGCATCTTTTAATAGTGTCTGTTTTAACTCCTACTTCTCGCTGTCGGAAGCATGTTTGGGTTTTTTTGTGGTGTCTGACATTGGCATTTGGGGAAAGCCAGCCTTTGAGGGAGCACTGCCCTGTGGAATGACCTTCGCCGTGAGGTGACGGAGGCATCCGGTGACGGGTGGCCTCTCACCCCCCCTGGAGAAGCCTGACACTTACAATGGATTGTATTTGTTGGGCAAAATGGCGGATTCATTCATAGAGCAGAACGCAGCTGTTGGCATGAGGTCTTCCATTAGTTAGAGGGTTTCTTTTGGGGAAATGTTTATATTTTGTAATTTCTAGAAAGCCAGAAAATGGGCTCTGATTTCATAGCCAGCATTTTGATAAAATGCCACAAAATAAGGGCTATCGAGAGATTTTTACAAGTCAGATTTTTGTTCCCCAAATCTTTTAAATGAAGCCAGTGATTCCCAGGTCTCCACCCGCAGCCCCAATCACGATGGAGCAGCACCGGAGAGGCCTTCTCCGCCCAACGGCACACGCAGATCCCTTCCGAGGCATTTCCTCGACAGTGTGTGACCGGCAGTGAAATGTTTTTGCACACGTGCACACGTGCAATTTTTTTTTTTTAAAGAAGCTTTTAAACACTCTAATAAAGTGGGTGTCGAGAACATCGGTCGCCTTACTCTGAGGTTTCACGAGGCCTAGTTTGCACGCTTGGACTTTAGTTTTGCTCACAGGTAAAGGATGGTGGACTTTGAGAGGTACCATTACAAGTCACTCGAAATATTCTCAGCGGGCGGTTTCTTTGGGTGGCAAAGAGCCTGAAGTTGTGTCCTTCTGCCGCGCGAGCGTGGTGCACCCTTCCCGGGAGTCCCCGTCGGCCGGGCGCTGCGGGCGCGGTGCTGACATCGCCGTGGGAAGACAGGCAGCGTGGCGGGTCCGATCGCGGTCTATTTTTTTATCCAGAGGCTTAATTAAATGATGTGAGGAAATAATGTATGACAATTAAGACGATGAAATTCTTTATTTCTGGGTGGAAAGATACACCAGATTAGATTTATCTGTTTAAAAAAGGAGAAGTTATATCACCAAAAACCCCTTTCCCATTTGCACTGTTTGTTTTGGATTGGCTTGGGGGGCGGATTTCTTTGACTGTCTACTTTGTTGGAACACCTTTTTTGTGGTTCAAGTGCTGTTTTGTGTGTTGGGACCAAACAGCTGTCAATAAACTTTACAAGCAAGACCTGACTGAGTTTCCCAAGAGTGGTGTGTGGTTTTGCGTGTTGAGGGGGGGACGGATTGATGATGAACCAACCACCTTCTGTCATCTTTTCGTTTGGGGGGGGGCCCAGCTCCTCCCCCTTCTGTGAGTCTGGGAGGCGGAGAACAAATTGGTCAGACCTGTTCTGGGCCCTTTTCCCTTGGTGTTTCCAGCCCTGGCACAGGCTGAATTGACCCTTCTTGGCCTGGACCCACCGAGCCAGCCTGCTCCCAGCTTATAACCCCAGGCAGAGAGTAGACAGTAGCCGCAGAAACGCCTGGGCATGAAACATCATTCTGCAGACCACCGTGGTCTCACCAGGTTGCTGCCAGGCAGGTCTTTTGGAGAAGCCCCTTTGAGAAGACTTACAGATTCCACCGAGAGGCCCTCCCCACCGAGGCCCCATTCCCACCAGCCCCACCCCCTGCAGGACTTGAAAGGATCAGGAAGAGACTTGAAGTTGTGGGTCCGTTGCTTCTTGATGAGGTGCCACTTCTTTTTCAAACTCAACATCCAAAAAACTAGTTTTGTTGTAAATCTGAGCTGCCACCAGGCCGCTTGAGTGGGGCAGGGTGACTAACACATCTTTCCTCAGGCCTTTCCATCCAGAGCAAAGAGCTTCCGGAGTGAAGGCGGACCTGCCCCCAGGCCCCTACTGGGGTCGGAACCTGACTCGGGCAGTTGCCCGCCATGCCCTTTACGGGAGGCAGGTGTGCTTAGGGATTTCCCTGCTTTCCAGCTGCTTCACTGAGCCACAGCCAGAAGCATCCCCGCTTCCTTCTGTGCCCTGACCTGCTAGAGCTTCCATTTGGTCTGTGGGTTGGGACAAGCCCAGTAGCCTCTGGGGCTGGGGAAGGAGAGGGGCCCTGAGTCACTGTCCCCTAAACCAGCGGTCAGTGTGGGCCCCGCTAGCGCTTTCCTTGACCTTCTGTCGTCCTGCAGTGCTACGCTTCAGCTCTGCCAGCAGCTGGCCCCTCTCCAGGCTGCTGATGTGATTACAGCATGAGCCTCTCCCCAGCCTTTGGGGAGAGATGATCCAATTTGCACATTTGAATTAATACTTTGAGGGCTGAGTGCCAAGTCTCTTTCCCAAAAGAGTTGAACTGTCACCCTGGGGGGCAGACAACCCTGGGGGGGCAGCCTCGCTTGGCACATGAGGCATATGGTTGCCTTTGGGACCGAGTCAGCGGAAAGAGGGGAATCCCCCACTTTTCAGGTACGTGGGACAAACAAGGTTTTTTTTTGTTTTGTTTTTTTAAATATTGATTTATTTATTTATACAAGCGCTGGGTACAGTCAGAAGCGCGGGAGGGTGAGAGAATTCACCAGAGCCAGAGCGGGGAGCAGAGCAGGCAGAAGGACCGAAGTACACTGCTGAGGGGAGCAGCGGGCGGCAGGAGAGGTCTGAGCGCCATGTGGGACCCTCCTCCGGTGGCCGGGGAGCAGCCAGGGATCGAACAAACGCTGCAGAGGCTGCGGGCAGCGTCGCAGCCCAGCGCTCAACCGCTGCGCCACCAGGGGAGGCCCGGGACAAACAAGGTTTAGCAACTCCCAAGCCAGAAGTTGAGGGCCAGAACCTTCCTTGGCAAGATGAAGAATCCACAATTTCTGGGAAGAAAGCACTTGGTGATAGAGAATTTAAGACTCCAAGGAGGAAAAGGAGGAGAAGCAACTGCAGGCTGAAGCCAAATGGCCGGAGGCTGGGCTCCTGCTCCACTGCAGGGAGCCCGCCAGGAGCGTGGCGGGGGCCGGGGTGGCCAGGACTGGCAGGCTGTGCCCCGGGAACATCTCTTCCCTCTTCCCCAGACAGCCAGGGAAGGCCCTTCTGCCACAGATGCTGGGTCTGGCCTGGGAGACCCCCCCACTCCCACTCCCTCCCCTCAGCCCGTCTGCTGGCCGGACGTGCCACGGTGCGTGCAGACAATTCCTCCTCCGGGCTGCAGGCTCCCTACCTTCGTGTTACCAGCCCCCGGACTGATGTGTTCAGGTCAGAAACGGAGATGAAATCTCTAAGGTGGGATCCCTGTTTGGCCGCCTATGTGGGGAGGCCTGTCAGTTTTGCACATGGACGCTGAGCAGGACCCTGAGGACCACCCCGGGCCCCTGCCCTCCGGCCTCTCTCCCACCCCAGCAGCCCCTTCAGCTGCTTGGCCTCTTGGTTCTCCTCTGCCCGGGGCCTTGTGCCTGCCGTCCCTGTGCCTGGCGGGCTGGGCAGCACAGGCTCTGACTGTAAAGCCCTGGGTTTGCGTCCCTACCTCCCCCCTTGCTCCCCTCTTACTTGGTAGTCCTGGGACTTGGGCCAGTTCTGAACTATTCGGTACCTCCTTCTCCACTCACAAATGGGGATAATCACAACAGGTGTTTCGCATCTTGAATGAGCTACAGGTGTAGCGCTAGGGAAGGCTCCAGGCACACTCCCGGAAAGGTTGCTCCTCGCCCTTGTTATCTGTACCTCATCACTCAGCTCTGGCTCAAATACCGTTTTCTCAGGGAAGCTTTCTCTGACCCACCCCCTCTCCCCGGCCTAGACAAGGCACATTCCTTCCCTTTCCACAGTCTCAGGTACTTTGATAACGAGTGAAACATTGTTTATCACTAGTTCGCCACTGAATGTGGGATCGTTCCGCCTTCCTGCCCTAGACTGCGAAGCCGGGAGGCTGGGGTTTGCTCACGGATCCCGACTTCATTTTCATGGTATTCATTTTCTAATCATTGTGTAACCAGTTACTACTACTTTAGCAGTTTAAAATACACACTAGCGTCACCTCACAGTTTGTGGATTACAAATCCAGACACGGTTTAGCTGCCCCGCTTAGGGGCTCACAGGCTGCTATTGAGCCTGGGCCAGGCCGTGTTCCCATCTGGGGCCTTGAAGCGGGCAGAACCCACCTTCCAAGTTCTTGCTGCCGTCAGTCGCTTTCATTTCCTGGGCTGTGCCACTGAGCCCCGCCAGCTGGGAGCTGCCTGCCCAGGGCCTGCAACTTAGTACATAGAGATATCAAGGGGGGCTCTCTCCAGGCTGGAGGGCCTGTACAATGAGGAGAGGGGGGAGCCATGCAGTAAGAGGGAGCCTTGTGCAATGTAACTTCAGCAGAGAGTGACCCCCCAGCCCCCATCACCTTTGCCAACTTCCTTTAGTTCTAGACAAGGCGCAAGCTGCACGTCTTCGCTGAGCTGACATGTTTGGCGAGCGAGTGGGCAAGTGACAGGAAGCCGAAGCCATGCAGCTCCTGGCATGGGAGGAGAGGGGTCAGCAACCAAGCTTCAGGATGCAAGGGTCTCTGAGACACCCCCTTTTCCTGCCTGAGACTTACAGATGGGGAGCGGGAGGCCGGAGAGGGTGAGCCTCGGCCCACGTCACTCCGTGGTTGAGCTGGGCCGGAAGCCCTGGTCCACACAGCTCCCAAGGCTGAGCTTGCTTGAACCCCCATTGGGTGCCGGATCCTGAGCTGGGTGCCAGGACCCCGATGTAGAAAGTTCTCCCTTTCTCCTCTCAATAGCAGCAGTACTCAGGGCCTCAGACAGGAAGATGCCCCCAGAGTCCTGCTTCTTAAGTCAGAGATTTGATAAGTACATGAGTTTGTCTTTTGTTGCAATGAGGTACTTCTATGTGGGCACCTGGGTGGAGGTTAGTCCTCTCCCTCCAGAGAGGTTTGGAGAACTTCCAGGCTGACGCGCCTCAACTCCGTGAGGACAGGAGCCGTGTCCATGGGGCCCTTCCAAGGCCTCACCCTGTGTCCCTCTTCACCTGGCTGTTCATCTGTACCCTGCACCACATCCCCTGGGGTGGTGGGAACTAGGCTAGATTCTGTGAGCCGCCCTGGCAAATTATTCCAAGCTGAGGCGGGGTGGGTCATGGCAACCTCTGAATTTTAACCATGTCATAGAAGAGGGCTGGGTCATCTGGGGACCTGCCACTTCTGATTGGCACCTGAAGTGGGGGGCAGTTTTGTGAGTCTTAACCTAGAGGGTCTGGAGCTCTCTCCAGGCACATAACATCAGATAGGAGTTAAATGGGACACCCTGCTGGGTTGGAGAGAAGGAAATTTCTTAGGGAAGAAACACCCACATGCCTTTAGTGACCAGAGGTGTGTGAAGTCAAGTGTTCTGTGCAAAGATAAAAGAGGGAGGCACAGGTAGCAAACTAGAAGTTTCTCTCCACACCAGGGGAACATGTTTAAAATGCAGACTCTCATGGAGAAAGACAAACACCCTAGTATTTCACTCACCTGTGTGGGGTACAGAGAGAAAACAAAGTCTTAGATGATCTAAATAGAATAAAAATGCATCTTCAGATGATAAGACCAAGTCATGGTTCCAGCGGGAAGCAGGGAAACTGGGTCAAAGCGGCTTCTGGTGGTGACCTTGACAGTAACCTTGTGTGTTGGTGCTTAGCAATGAACCCCGAAATGTACACAACACCGCCATGCAACATTGCTTCGACAATAAAAACACCGGCGTCTGCTGGAACCACCAGTCTGAGCTCTTTCAAACTTGAGGTGATGAAAGACGGAGACAGAAGGAAACTGAGCAGACGAGAAGCATCCCTCGTCCCTGAGCCAGACCCTGGAAGGTGGGGAGGCACAAACAGCCCTGATGGCAACAGCGGCGCTCGGTCAGACGTCAACACCAGACTTCAAACACTGTTCTGTGATAGGAGAGGGAACACCCTTGCTCTTGAACCCATGCTGAAGGATTTAAGGGTAACGTGACATGATGTCTGGACCTAAAATTCTGGGAACAAACGCGTGCAAAGCAAGGGGCCCAGAAAGCTGATGAAACAGTGGCCACCAGCGGCCAGAGTCAAAGGGAAGACGTGGCGGGGGCGCTCTTTGTACGATTTGAAAGACAACTCCTCTGCAAGTTCAAAGTGGCTTCAAAATAAAAAGTTATCTTCACAGGGTTTCGCGGGCTCGCTCCTGGGCCTCTCTGGAGACCGAGGCTGGAGTGTGGGGCAGCGAGGACAGGAAGTGGCCGGGCCGGGGCCTCCTGGGAGCTTCTTCCCTTCCGAACACGCAGCTTGTGGTTCTTGTGGGTAAACGGTTGCTGTTTGAATCAGAACAGTCCCTGGGTAAAGGGCATCAAGAGCACGCCAGGGGCGTGGGGCACTGGCTCCACCCTTCCAGACTGGGGCTGTGGTGGGGCCGGGCTGGATGCCAGAGAGAGAGTGGAGGCGGGCAGCATGGACGCACACCGGCGCCCTGGTTCTGACCTGGCTCGGGTGCACTGGCGGGTGACCTCGCAGACACCTGCCCCGCTCAGAAAGCCTGCTCTCAGGCTCTAGCTTCCCAGCCTCCAGCCTGTCCCCGTCCTGCACAACCGGGTTGACCCCCTCCCCTGGCCGCAGGGCCGAACTTTGGACCCCAGCTTAGCTAAGCAGAGGCCCGCACCCCTCTGGCCCAGCAAGTGACCCTGGCCAGGCCTGGGACACTCCACTCTGGGACTTAGTCGCAACAGTGGGATTGTTACCCTGGGAGCCCAAGCTGGGCACCAGGGCTGAGGCCCCCCTAGGACACTGCTCCAGGGACAGGTGGCGTCGTGGAGCCCAGCGACAGGATGGAATCCTGGACCTGGTGGGGCTGCTGTGAGGAACAGACAAGAGTGCCTGCGTGACAGCACACAGCAAGTAAGCTCTCAGTGACCGTTATGCCGGTTACTCTCCTGCCAGTTGGCTCCAGGAGCGGGTCCGGAGTCTGGGTGTGAGGGCCCTGAGGTCTGCAGGGTTCACCAGCTTGACAGGCAACCCTAGTGATTCCGGAGCATCTTGAGCGATTACTTTCTTCTGTGAAAACCTAAATAAATGGCATTTTCTGGCTTGGAAAAAATCAATAGGAACAGCAAGAACATGAGTTAGGTCCACCCCAGGGCTCAGCGGCCACACTGGAGGCGGGATTTTAATGAGAATTTCGATCTCCTTCTGCTGGTTGGATCGGTGAGTGACTGCTCTTTAATTGATCTCAGGTCAGGCCCCGCAGACCCACATTTCCTCCAGGCCAGGGAGAGTGGGGGATCCTTTCCAGCCTGAGAGTTTATTGCCAGAGTAGGAAGGGCCTCTATCATGTCCCCTCAGCCCCAAATTCATGTCTGCTTGCAACCTCAGAATGTGACCTTATTTCAAAGTCGGGTCTTTGGGCCTCCCTGGTGGCCTAGGGGTTAAGTCTCAGCGCTGTGAAGCTATCTGCAGCCACTGTGGCACGAGTTCGATACCTGGCCAGGGAGCAGACCTGGCACAGCAGACCTCTCCTGTCTCCCCACTGCTCCCCTCAGCAGCGCGTTTCAGTAGATCCACCTGTTCTGCTCCCCATTCTGTTCTGGTGAATCCTCTCACTCCCCCCACCTTTGCCCTACACCCCAGTTCTTGTATGCAAAAAAAAAAATGAATAAATAAAAAGTATTAAAACAAAGTGTGGTCTTTGTGGAAGCAATGAAAGCAAGGCTTGCGAGGAGCTCAGCATAGGTTTAGGGTGCTTCTAAGGACTGAGGTGCTTCAAAGAGGAGGAGAGGATGCAGGTACACATATGGAGGAGAAGGCGACATGGAGAGGGAAGTAGGGATTGGGGCCGGGTAAGCCAGGACTGGCAGGAGCCCAGGATCCAGAGGAGGCAAGGAAGGAATCTTCCTGAGAGCCCTCCGAGGGGCCCAGCCTGCCAACCTGAATTCAGACCTCTGGCCTGCAGCCCCCTGAGAGGACACCTTGATGTAATTTGCAGCCTCCCTGGTTGTCTCTGGGGGGCTACAGTCCACTCTCACACCCGGTCTAGGGCAGTGAGGGGAACAGGTGTCCCTGAGGCAGCATGGTGGCCCCGGCAGTGGCCCAAGGGGGCCTCTTCAGCTTCAGGGTGGCAGGGAGTGGAGTGAGGCCCAGGTCTGGACGCACAGACTCCTCTGAGCAGGCAGCGGCTCTGGCCACCAGGAGAGGCCAAGAGCTGAGACCCTGGTCCTCACCCAGAGATACTATGTCAACTGCAAAGCTGCGTGACTTGGCAATCAGATTAATGGTTGACTCACCAATATTCTGGAAAACGGGATCCATGAATGGCCCAGAGATTCCACTCCTAGAAGTTTATCTTAAGGAAAACCCAGAAACTGAAATGAAATCTAGTGTGGACAGTGAGGAAAGGGTCAGATAAAGCTCCCGTGTCCGCCAGATGGACACAAGCAGCCGTTGTGAATGAATATTTACGAGTGTTGAATGTTTCTGAAGAGCCTTTCCTGATGCAGGAGAAGGGCCGCTACAATGATGGTTATGAAACAGTCCAAGGTGATGCCAATCGTGGCGAGAAATGCATTGAAAAAAAAAAAAGAGAAGGGAAATAAGCCCAAACATCAGCATGATCTCCAGTTGGAGGAATGATGAGGACGAAGGGGGAAAAAAATAAAAAAAACTTCTTTGTACCGTCTCTACTGCTTCAATGATTTACTGTGTACATGGATGACTTCCAGAGTCAAGAGAAAGGTAAAACTGTAAAAAGGCCATGAACGCGGTTTCCACTTTTATTTTCTCCGATGGGTGATCGCACATCAGCGGATCTCGAGTTACTAACTACGAGGCCGGTCACGACACACACAGGGACATAGAGGTCACAGGGGCCGTGCCGGGCTGGCTGTAGCAAATGGACATCGAGTCACACGGGTGGAGGTGGTAGCTGGTGAGGTCACCCCGGTGACGGGACGCGCTTGGGCCGGGCGCTCCCGCCTCCGCAGTGGGCTGTGGTTTGGAGTCTGTGTTCGGCTGGTGAGTGCCCGGCGGGAGGAGAGTGCAGCGTCCGCTGAGGGTCCCCGTGCCTCCAGCCTTCTGCTCCCTCCTCTGAGCCTAGGGGTGCTCCAGCCCCCACCCCCTCTCCGCTCAGCACCCCAGAGGCAGACATAGCAAGGGAAGGAAGAGCTCCCCATGTGAACCCCGCCAGCACAGGAAGCCGGAAGCGTGACCTGGACACCACAAAGAGCTCAGTCTCTAAGGACGGGTCCTCTGTGTCTCCAAGAGGCACGGGCAGTGTGGGGGGGCCCTCCAGGGTACGGCCCCAGGGAGAAGACAGACGGGGGCCGGAGCTGAGCTCACTGGGGGCGGAACTGACAGCAGAGCTAGGAGGTGATGGGGGCTGTGTCCACCGTGGTGCTAGGTCGTTGAAAGTCACAACTACACACCCCTGGGGATCATGCCCCTCTCCCAGTTCATTCGCACGTGGGGTACACACAGCTAGAGAGAAGTGGAGAGATACTTTTTGAGGGAGGACCTTTCCTGGCGGTTGGCTAGACGTGAGACGGACTCCTGGGTTCGGCATGCGACAGGGAGGGCCATGCGACGGGGAGGGACTCCCTACTGCTACACTCTGTACAGGGCCCCGGCGCCAGTCACGGGCTCACTTCCACCCCTTCTGCCTGGGCGAGCTCCTGAGCCCCAGTGAAATGGGGGCTATGAAGACAAGAGGGTGGGAGGGGGGCGTCCCCATGGCCTTGGGGGCACCCCACGTCAGGGGGCGGGCTACATGATGCTGCATTGGGTGGCCCCGCAGCAGTCCTTGATGAGCGCCAGCCCGGTCTTGGCCACTGTGGGTTTGCTAGGTGGGGGCTCTGCTTTCTTCTCTGCTCGGGAGCCTGCAGCAAGGGAGGAGCACAGAGGGAGGGGGAGATGGAGAGAGGCTCGGTGAGGTGAGGCGTGTCCTAGCCACCTGCAGCCCCCGTCTTTCCCGCACCCTGGCCAGGCCTTGCTCCGGCTTCCCAGATCAGGGAGGGTGGGGCTGCTATGGGCTCTCTATGGTCTGGTCATTGTTCCCACCTCCCAGGGGGCCTCAGATATTCAGTCTTTAGCTTCCAACCGCACCCTCTGGCCCTCTGTACAGTCCTACCTGCCACGGTAGCTGCCAAGCTGAGCAGGGGGCTGGCATTCAAGTATGTGGGGCATGATAAATGGGAAGTTTGGTTCAAGTCACCAGTATCAACCGCGAGCTTCCCTGTTCCTTCCCTTCGCTGGGAGGTGGGGGCTTTCTAATTTGCCTTTCATGGAAGAGAATCCACTGCATTGCTGTGCCTTGAGATTTGAGGGGCCTCTAGAAGGGACTGTGACCCTCTCTTTCTTTATCTGCTCACAACCTACAACCATTTCCCAGGATGCTACTGGAGGATCAGGGAAAACTGAATTTGCAGAAGGTGATGGCAGCTTGGGGTTTTGTCTTTCTAGCAAGATTTCTACTCCTTTTCCACTGAAACAGCTGCACCCTGTGGCGACAGGAGTAGGCCTGTGACACAGATCTGGCCAATCGCAGCCTCTGGTCTCCTGGTGACAGCAAAGGGCCAATGAGGAGGAAGGATGGTTCAAGAAGTCCCTGTTGGAACCTCTCCCTAAGATTTATATATTTAGATTCCAGGAGAGAGAATCTGTGGCATTACCTGGCTGCTGTTAAGCAATGGTTCTGGAATTCTGGCCCCCAGGGAAATGCAAAGAAGGACATAAATACTATATGGAAGTGAGGTTGCTCTTATAGCGTCTGCTCCCTAAAGCCTCGTTCTTGATGCTTTTCTTCCAACAAGTCAGGCAATTTGAATGGGGCATCCAATTCTTACAGCTGAAGGTAGGCTTCTGGGTCACCTCGCTGCCGGCAGGACAGCTTCCTTCATAGCACACGCTCACTGTAATGTGCTGATGAACCCCGGGACCCTCCAAACAGAGGGTCAAATGCACAGCCTTTCCCAAAGTTATCTCACACTGAACCCTTTTCGCTCTGAGTACCTTATGAGGCTACTATTCTGAGAAACATATTTTTGGCTCTACTCCTCCAGAAATTCCAACTTCAACAGAGGCCAGAGGCCCCTGAGTCTCAGCCCCCACTTTCTGGCTTTCGTAGCCGCTCAGCTCCTTCTAGGAATTGCACCAGACTGTGTGGTTAGCAAGTAGCGGTGGCACCAGAACCAGCGACGTAGTTTACAGAACCCAGCGCAGAATGAAAACGCAGGGTCCCTTGCTTGGTTATAAAGGATTCCAAGACAACAGCAGAAGGTAAAAGCAAGCGCAATGCCCTTCCAGGCCGGGCCCCAGCACGGCACACTGTCCACGAAGCCGGCCCTGGCGGCTGCCGTGCTGTGCTCATGTTTGGTCTCTAGAAAGCATTTTGTTATATCTCCTGTGGCTCCCGCTTTTAAATGTCCTTTGCTCTGGAAAGGGGAGAAGAGAAGGAATAATATATGCACTCACTGGCTGGAGGTTTGGATACTTTATCTAGAGGTTTTAACTTGAGTCTCAAGAAATCAGCCATTTCTTTGTCTTCTTCTTGCTCGCTGTGAAGACAGACGCGAAGAGAAGAAAGCACAGTCAGGAAGGCAGACAGCAAGGCACTGGGGGAACGAGGCAGGGAGCAAATGTGTGGGACCACATGTCAGGCTTTGTGGATGGTGTGTTTATGCTGTTGTGTGTTATGTGTGGTTGGCATGTGTGTTGTTACATGTGGTGAGTGCATGGTGTGTGTTTTGCATGGATGATGCATGAGTGTTGATGCATAGTATGCACAGAGTCTGCATGTTTTGTTACGTGTAATGCCTATATAAGTTGCTGTGTTATGTGTGATTGGGGTGGGCTATGAGTGTTGGTACACCTATGTTCATATGTGTTCTATGCGGGAGGTACATGTATGTTGTGTGCTATATGTGGGTGCCGTATGTTGGCATGTGTTATGGACAGAAAGCATGTGTATACTGTGTGTTCTGTGTGGCTGGTTCATGTAGTGTGACATGTTATATGTGAATGGTGCCTGCATGGCATGTTGGGGGTGTGGGGGTTGTGTTATGTGTATGTGGGTCATGTGTGTTGGTGCTTGTATGGGTGCCATGCATGTTGATGTGGGTTATGTATGGATGATTTGTGCATGTTGATGAGTGTTGTGTGAAGGTGAGTGTTATATGTGGGTGAAGTGTGTATGTTGTGGTTTACGAGCCTGTTTGGAAGCAGAGATGCACATCAAGGATGGATTAAGTGCCTATCTGGGTTTAGGGCGACCAGAGCATTAGCAGGGATATTACAGGACGCAGGCTCAATTGCCAGGTTCACTGAGTGGGGCAATACCTCCCCTGGTGCCGTACCTCTAAGTCGCCTGACACTCGTGTTCCTGTAAGCCATGTGGCAGGTCTCGGAGAGCAAGTCACCCCAGCTCTTCCAAGGGTCACCAAGAGCAATGTTAATGCCCAGCCTGACTAAATGAGGCAAGGTGCATCCAGGACCCTCAGAGGAGCTAGAGGGACCCAGAGAATAAAGCAAAAGTTGTCCTCTGGGTTGGAAGAGGCCTCATGAACCTCTCTCTTTATGGAGATCCCCAAAAGCTTTGCTGCAGGACAAAAATATTCAAGAATCACCATTCACATCTTTCCTGCCTGCCTCCTTAAGAGCCTGCAGGTGCACCATGGCCCCAGGACCAGGTTGTCCCAGGCAAGGTGGCATCTTACCCAAATGGTCCAAAGGGCACCGAAGCAAAGGACAGAGCAAAGCTGGCAGGCAAGGAAACAAGTCAGTACAGGGGACAGGGTTTCTGTCGAAAGTGATAGAAGTTTCTAGACGTTGCTTCAGTGAGTTGGGAGAATGCGAGGGGAAGAGTGTGTGTTATGTGCTGTTACTCCTCACTGGTCACCTCCTCAAAGGACAGTCACTTAAGACCCACTGGCTTTTGCAAGACTTTTTGGAAATGGGTTTGCATTTCTCTTGAACGGGAAATGGTCCTCAGGCCAGACAGCGGGGCTTCCTCTGGAACCAGTGTTTGGGGGCCTCTGCCGAGGCCACCCCAGGTAGGTGCGGCTCAGCCCCCCCAGGAGCAGGAGGTGGTTGGGAGCACAGGGCTTGGGCCCACAGCCCACTCACCGCAGCCGCTCCACCTCGGCATCGTCCACCAGGAAGTCCCTCTTCTGCACCAGTTTGTGGATCTTCTGGATTAACTCATCCTCTCGCTGTTTCTGCAGCTTGGTTTTCTCTTTTTCTGGGAACAAGAAGGCATCAGCAAGGAAACCATTGAGTGTTAACTGTTGAGAGCGCTCTGAAGGCTGGGGTTGGAAGCGGCTCTGCTGAACCTGAGTAGCAACTTGACCCTTCAGATTTGTGAAGCTCAAGTGCAGGGAGGTTGGTAAACCTCTCAGCACAGCGCTCCGCCCCGTGGACACTCAGTCTGCAGTATTGATGAAGTCAGGGGTCCTGGGGGAGGCAGAGGTGAGGGGGCTGAGGTGAGGTGCTGGGTGGGGAATTACTCCCTGTGAAAGCCAACCAATTTGTCAGGTGTAAATCACTCCTGCTGCTGCCATCAGCCCCGGTCTAAATGCCAAGGGCTAGAAGGCCAAAGAGAAAACTAAGGAAAGAACAAGGGGCTGGATATGAGGACTTGAACTTGGGCCTGCCGGGTGTGGAAGTGTATTCTAGCACATGATCAGGGAGCCCTGCATTGCAAGACTGTGACTGGGCTAGGAGAAGAGATGAACTCTGTCTTCCAGATCTAAGAGGTGAGGATAAGGCAGGTGAGGGCTTTTTGGGATGGACTCCCCCGTGGTTACCTGGGATGGCGACCAAGTTCTGCAGCTCCTGCTTCAGGTCCATGATGGCATTACAAAGCTGGATGTCATCCATCCTGGGGACACAGGCCAGCACAGCACAACAGGTTATGTTGACAGAACATTCTACACCCTCACATCCCACCCTGGTTTAAACAAAGAGGGCTGGTAGACAGGGACACCTTTGTAAAGGTGACACATACTCTTGATAGATGTTTTCCCCCAAAAGAAGAAAGAAAAAAAAAAACTGTCCATTATCACACATCTGGGAAGTGATCAGCCACTGTAAATCACAGCTCCTTCCATCTTCTGTGCCTGGCTTTTGTTAGCATATGCTACTGAGTTCATGTCTTAGGACCAGTGTTTCCTTTTTTCTGCTGTGTTAACATTTTAAGCATTATCGAAATCCTCAACATAGGGAAAATCTCCTGCTCTCCTTTAGAAATAACCATTATCAACACTTAGGTATATACGCCTCCAGATTTTTTTTTTAAACATTAATGATTATAGTACCACATAGGACATCATTGTCATGGTACAAAAACATTTTGCAATTTTTTAAAAACTTAATATTTCTTGAGCATTCCATGCAGTAAGTACATACAAGTTTCATTTTTAATGACTGCGTAGTATACCACTACATTGATTTTTCAGTGATTTAACTATTCCTGTATTAATTGATGTTTGGGTGTTGCCTGATACATTTTTCTAAGATAAATTCATAGAAATAAATAAGTCCCTAGGAAGATTAATCTCCAGAAATGTAGCTACTGGGTCAAGTAATAGGAACACTTGCACTATAGCAGGATTTTCCAAATTCCCCTAGAGGGGTAGGGTGCTCACTCCTGTAATCAGTGCATTAATTTGCGGAACGTGCATCGCACATTATGGTTTTTGCATGTGTGTGCTACAATAGTCCCTCATCTTACTGGAAATATGTGTAATGACTGCCTGGAATTCTATCAGGTAGATTTATCGGGATGATTTGAATTATGCCCTTGCCTTGTACACCTGTGCTGTATTGGCCACTGTAGGAGGAACATCGATTCATAGTCACACAAGGCTTTTCCTTTCAAGTTGGATTATTTGAGGAGGGATCTCTAGATTCTCAGAAAGAGAGCTACTGAGTACAAAGGGCTTGACACATCTATGGCTGTTGTTTTTAGATCACTTCTCAGTGTGTTTGTGTGTGTGTGTGTGCACACTTTCATTCTGCATGTTTTTATGGAGCTCTAACTATGTCTGCTACTGCCAGGCTCTGAGAATGCAGCAGTGAGAACAAGTCCCTCCTGAGCTGATACTTCAGAGGTGGGGACAGAAGGTAAACACAGGACAGCAGCCCATTGGGCTCTGTGAAGGGGAGTGACACAGGGGCTGCCAGGGATGGAGTGAGTAGTTTGGACACATTCTCCTATTTGCTTCTGAAAAAACATCCCAGGAAAAAACAGAGGGAGCAGGGATAGTCTCAGAGGACTTTACTAGTCCACACAGCTGGAGAGCGCAGGACACTCATCCGGGTCTATTTCATCAAGACCCTGATCTGAGGCCTCCTTTCATTAGCGTCACCTCCCTGCCTTTGCTGGTCAAAACCAACCCACATTACCCCTCCAGTCCCAGCACCACGGCAGTCAGGACAAGCAGTAGGACCCTCCTGCTGCGGCAGCCTGCACCTCCCGCTGCCAGAGTGTGCCCGACACGTTTCCAGCCCTGCCCAGGAATGTCCTAGCAGGTGGCAGCTGCCTCCAATGAGCCTGGGGGGACGTGCCAGGAGGGCACAATGTTCCCGTGGGCTCCTATTGGCCTTCATTCTACTGGAGGGGCTCCAGAATCCTCTTCCAAAGAGCACAGAGGCTGGCCAACCTCGGTGGGTCTCAGTGAGGGCGATGTCAGTCCCTGGGGACATTTGGTGATGCCTGGGGATGTATTTGGTTGTTATAACTATGTGTGTGTGTGTGTGTGTGTGTGTGTGTGTGTGTGTGTGTGTGTGTAGGGAGGTTTGTTACTAGCATCTGGTGGGGAGAGCCCAGGGATGCTGCTAAGCACCCTGTGTGCACAGGACAATCTCTCTCAACAGGAAATCATTTAGCCTGCAGTATCTGACGTGCTGAAATTGAGAAATCTTAGGTTATAACCATATAGGTGACAGAGGTACCTCAGTGATCATTTTTGAGGAACAAGATGGCAAAGAAATAAAAGAGAGATAGAGAGTGGCTAGAAGCAGGAATTTGGACCCCAAACAGTTCATTTCGAAGGGGCCAGAAGCCAGTGGCTTAACTTCTGAGACTTGCTTTCTGCGTCTTTAAAGTGGTCGTGGTAACGGCACCACTTTCTGGCCACATCAAGACTGAGCACAGGCCTGGGAGGCTCAGTAAGTGGTTTCTGTTAATATATGAACAGAATGTTAGTAACTGTCAGAGAGAAGCAGGGAGCACGAGGAAAAGAGAAATTGATGTGAACATGTTCAACCTTAAAATAAAATTCCAATTGATTACATTCTGCTCTATAAAAGTTCTGAAACATTCCTACCTGACTGTAGAAGAGGCCCCTGTCACTGTGGAAGTTTTGGAAGACACGAAAGTAAGAAGAAGGAATGTAAAAAGGTGCATAACCCTGGCTGGCGAGCACCCTGGCTGGCGAGCGCCCAGGCCATAGCGCTTCATACCAGGACTTCCTGCCACAGACCCGGTGAGGCGGCCAGGCCCTCCTCTCTGAAGGGCACTCAGCTCGGTGGGGCGCTTCCGACAACCCACCCCCCACCCCAGAAAGCTGCAGCACTCCACAGAAGCCCTATCAGAAAACATTATTCTCCTGGCATTTCTCTCTTGCTGCCAGCTTCCCTCTTCTCTGCCTCGTCCACACACCACCCAAACAAGGGCCCTCAGTTCCCGAACAATTCTACGTGGAAACCCAGCTGGCAGCACCCAAGCCTGCGGGGTCTCTGAGCATCCTCCCGGGAAAGGAGTTCGCACCCGACCCCAAGCTGCCCCTCAGAGATCCCCCTAACTAAAAGCCAGGATTTTGTTCTCTGGGAGATGGAGGGGCCCGGAGAGGGCCTTCATCCTGGTTCACAGTCGACAGCAAGAAGGCGGCCCGCTGCATGGTCACGTGGCAGAGAAAGAGATCATCTCTTGGCCTCCCTGATGGTGCAGGGGTTAAAGTCTCAGCGCTATCAAGCTATCCACAGCCTCTGCAGCACGAGTTTGATCCCTGGCCAGGGAGCTACCCACATGGCGCAGCAGACCTCTCCTGACTCGCCCGCTGCTCCCCTCAGCAGTGTATTTCAGTAGATCTGCCTTTTCTATTCCCCAATCTGTCTCTGGTGAATCCTCTCATCCCCCCCACACCTCTGGCCTACACCCCAGTTCTTGTATGCATAAATAAATAAAATAAATTTTTAAAAAAACAGATTATCTCTTTCACAAGACATGGGTCCCATTCACGAGTCCTCCACTCTCCCAGAGTACCCACCTTTTAATGCCATCACATGGGGTCACTTAATCCACAGCACCAGTCACGATCATCACATTTGCCTTTGCCACACAATTTTCCGAACTCCCTGCAGCCAGCGGTCACTGCAAGATCCACTTGGGGCCAAGGAGATGTGAAAGGAAGCCTGCTCAAGGGCAAGATGGTTGATCTTGGGTGTGATCCCTTCATGGTCCTGAGGCCCCTCCCTGCAGGGGGGTGAGAAGAACCTGACCCTGGAGGACATCACGAGCTGGCTCTCAGACCATCTACAGCTACACCAGATCTGCATCTTAGATTCTCTATATAATTTAAGTAGAGTGTCCAGGTTTGCCTGGGATGGTGCCAGGACTGGCACTGAAGTCCCAAGTCCTAGGAAACCTCTGACTTCCAGGAAACCAGGATGGCTGGTCACCCTAGATTTCAGACACTGCCAGTCAGATGTTCTGTTACTTGCAGCTGGAGACATCTTCATTGATAATGCATGTGGATGTGCCTAGCAAATAAAATAGGCTCAAACCATACATAATAGGCCTTGCTCATTGCCGGTGCCACCCCCTGATAATGATCCAATGTCATTAAATCATGTTGTTCAAGAAACATTTAAATATTTCATGCAAAGCACTTTTGAAGCTTGGCTGGAACTTTGCATAAGTCACATTAACCCAGTTCTCCGCATGATTAGTCTGAAGCCTGGAAATCAGACTTGGCCGCTGCCAGCCGGTACCGGAGAGAGATGTCACCTCCGGGAATCTGATTAATGCCGGAAGGAGAAGAGCCAGCCGAGTTATCTTGCATCCCAGTTTTTCCATGATGGGGTGATGAGGAAAATTGGTCATGATGTGTGATGTGTCTCTGTCAGGATAATAGTGTTCTGCTTTACAAAATGTCTTTGAAAATGACATGGTCTGGAGTCTAATGGAAATCCAGCAGGGACCAAGATGTGAAGCAGAAGCAGTTACCAGAGGAAAGGGTTGACTTTTAAAAATGATATTTACTTGGCTCCTTCTTTTATAAGCTGTGGGTGCGGTGGGCTTGTTGACAAGGATGGGAAAAGGTCAGGCTGGTCTAAGAGGGCGCCCTGGCCTAGGATGCAGAGCCTGGGACTGAGTCCAGGTCCCACTGCAAACCTCCTCTCTGATGAAAAGAAAAACTTTCTCTAGACACCCCAGACTTCTCTAGTTCTTGGTGGACACACCAAGCGGGCATGCTCTAATTTAAGTCAATTCTAATACCTACTGCCCAGAGTTAGTGCAGACCCCACAGGCTAAGTCTCAGCCCCACAAGACTGCTCCCCACTTCAGGTGCCAGTTGCAAGTCGGGGCCACCTACACTTCCAACCAGTTGGCTGTAAGGAGGGGCTGTTGACCCCCTCCTCAGGTTTAATAATTTGCTAGGACTGCTCAAAAGCTCAAGGAAACATTTACTTGCATTTACTAGTTTATGATAAAGGATGTTACGAAGGATCCCGATGAAGATGTACACAGGCCCCGATTTGGGGAAGGGCTTCCATGCTACTTCCATGGATGTGGTGGACAAAGGCGGTGAAAGTTCTAAGCGTAACATCCTTTATGTGGGGGACAAAGGGAGTGAAAGTTCCAAGCTTCCAGTT